GGCCCGGGGCGCGCGCGGAGGGCCCCGCGTGCAGGATATGGGGGGCGCGCGGGTGGGTGGCTGGGTGGAAGCAGGCGAGCTGTGTTGCAACCTCCGGGACACACGTGGAGCCCCCTGCCCGACCCCCGGCCAGGCCTTCCTCGAAGGAACATCGGGCAGCGTCCCTTGTTGCGCGCGTCCCAGATGTCAGGAAACAGGGAATGGCCCGTCATCGCTTCGGGAGGTCTCCTTGAATCAGGGCATCTGCTCCCCTTGGGACTCGCCCGCAGGGTATCCATCGGCTTTTTGTCGTAAAAACTGCCTTTTCACGGAAAGTAACTGGAAGCAAAGAGCCTCGATCCTCTCCGGACGCCTGGACCCCTTCGGCAGCTGTTCCTCGCCAAGGAAACTTGCCACGCAGCTTGAGTCAGATGCAGATTAAGAGACCCCTTAAACCCCCACCCCCCCAGGTCTTGCGTTGGAACCTAAGGAGTTTTTTTGGAAGTGTTAATAACTTCCATTTTCTTTGCCTGATGAGATGTGTCATCTTTAAAGTGTTGATCCCCATTTTAAAAGCTTGTGCCTTATTCTGGGCCATTTTAATACTGTATATGCATAACAAACAAATAGGGAGTATTCCATTGCACGTTCCAGATTTTATTGTGTAGTTTTCTAATAAAGGCTCATCATGTGAGAGTGAGATGTGCAAGATTACAGAAATTTAAAAAATGCTGTGTAGAGTATATTTTATGGCTATTCTTAACATGTGCGAGTTGCCAACTGACAACTTCCATGGAAACATACATCTGGTTCAATTAAACCACATTCAGAAGCCATAATATTCTACATTACTGTATTAACCTGTATGCCTCAGGTTCACAGTACAATCCTGTGGATATTCATTTGGAAGGAAATATTTTCAAGTTCATTGGGGCTTAACTCCTAGATAAGTAGAATTGCAGCCTTGTAGAAGGTTTTAAAGTATTTTGGGCAGTGTTGCTTAAAATTGAATTAGTTTGTAGACAGACTTTTGCATCGGTGTACAGTATCTTACTGCAGCAATGCCATTATTTCTGAAGTTGTGTTGACGGGATAGTTGGTATATTGTTTGATGCGGAGTTGATAAGTCATTTTTCCTGGCTGCGCACATACCAATGTTTGCTTTTGCATTGCTCACTGAATTGTGAAGGAACATGTGTATCTCCAAATATCTGGATACATGCAGTGAGCATGCACCGGGCAGGTGCCATGGGGCAATCAGCTAAGTGAAATAATGCAATTGAGAAATGAAAAATTCATTTCTTCACTGCTGTGATTAGGGTCTCCTGTTAGGCTGGCTGTAAAGTTCAACAAGAAAAATCCTTAGAGAAAAAAAAATGCTATGCCAGTGCAACAGTCTCACTGCTTATGAAGCTCATAAGCTGGGCAGAATTTTGGCTAAACCTGAGCAAGGTAGCTGATTAAATGCCATGCTGCTCATTTTTGCTAGGAACCATAACGGTTTTGCTGTAATTTTTAAGAGTATGTTGTGCAGTAAGAACATCAAGCTTAAGCTGATAAGGGATTTTATTCCAGTATGTGGCTCACTTCTGTCGCATCACTTGTGGGGAATTAGTGTTACAGTAATAGACTACAGTATCTAGCTTGCCTACCTTATGGTGCACAGTTCTCTTGTTTGCACTTACAGTACTGTATTGTAGGAGTTACTGCAGTATCTTCCACCCCTGAAGTGATCTTGCTACTCTTTGCAAATGGACTACACATGGCCTATATGAGGCAGAGGAAATATTTCAGTCCTACCTAGGGGGGCATAAAGATCAAATTGATTTAAATCATGATTTAAATTTAATAAAATAATGATTTAAATGATTTTGACTTCAATCAAATCCACCCTATTCCTGCCAGTGTAGTCTACTGGAAATTTGCCTTAGCAGTAGTTGAGAATAGCCATTCTCTTCCAAATAGTGTTTGTCCAAAGACTTGCATTGAAGGGATACTCTGAGAAGGTCATGGCCAGTTGCCTACTGAACTTCCATTGGGTGGAAACTCCCACCAGCATACTAATGTGTTCTTCTGCCAAGTAGAGGGCATGTTTTGTTTAGGACGGATCACACCGTGTGCACGGGGAACACTTGCAGAAGGGGTGCAGTTCACCATTGTGATGCTAGTGGGGTATGTTTCTCAGCAGAAGCTAAATAAAGTATTCATCTTGGTCCAGTAACATTTTCCCTATTTTTTCTGTTGTGAGCCAAGCTCCTGTTGTTTTCTTCACAGAGTAAAACAAGTATACTGGCCATTACTGATAAAGAAGAAGAAACCTTTCTATAATACTGTATCTGCCTGCTCCATAGTTCTTAAATAATGTTATCTCCATGTGTGAAAATCATTATATAACAGCCGATAATATATAATTGCAGTTGTGACTTTTAGCTCAGAATGTCTTCGGAAAAACAATCCATAGCAGTCTTAGTATAGGTATCTTTCTGAATATCCATTTTTCCTCATTAATTTGTGCAATTTAATGCATGTTATTGTGATAAAATAACCAGAATCTCATAGGAGGCATACAAGTTATTGGTATCATTTCACCACCATCTTGATCTTGAAGGGATTTGTTTGTCTCTGATCTATTTTTTTTAGGATTTCAGCCTCATTTGACCTGTGACACTAATATTTTTTCCTCTTAGGATCTGACAATGCTTGTGAGAAAACTTCATTTATGTTTCTGCGACAAGAGTTGCCGGTGAGATTGGCAAACATAATGAAAGAAATAAGTCTGCTTCCAGATAACCTTCTCAAAACACCTTCAGTTCAACTTGTACAGAGTTGGTAAGAAAATGTTAACTACAGTTCTAGGTCTAGACTTCATCGCAAGTTCTTCATCAAAAGCAAAAGGAAAGTTTTCCAGAATTTTCCTAGCCATGTAGGAGGGGGAGGGGGGAGTATACTTGTCCAAAGTTCACTATGGTTCACTCTCGTTGTGCGTGTCGGGCTAAATGATGATTTAGCATGTGCGCAGAGAGTCTTTGACGGTTCAGAAACTTTGGAGTACAATTCCCACAGTAGGAACAGTTGCTTACTGTGATGTGGAAATGTGAGCAGTGAGTTCAGCAGAACCTGTTTCTGATGAATTGGAGCAGAAGCAACGCATCACACATGACTACTTTCATTTATATATATCAGTCCAGTATGCTATTCATTTGTTATATTACTTTGTCCTTTGATTCTTACTAAGATCAGTGCATGCTACTAAAATACCAAGATTTAGAATAGATTTGTCAGCACTTTGTACAAAATTCGGTTTACTCCCTGCAACATTCTGCTGCTTCAGTTGTAATAGGGTTGAGTACCAACCTGAGTGTTTATATATTTGCATGCAAGTCAGAAAATAACTTCTGATCAGTAACTTGAATTTCAAACAGGCTGTGATTTCTGCAACATTGATAATGTAGCACATTAGACTCACATTCTGGTTTTGCACTAGAGTAAGGCAGCACAGGTACTTTTGATTATGCTGTTTTGTTGACAGGTATTTCTTAACGTAGTGTGATGGTGCCCCAGAGGTAAAATGGAAACAGTAGCTCCAGTTTACTTGATCAAATGCTGGTAATGTTGTCTGCAGATGAGACCCCTTCAAGGCAGATCTTTTGGTGATTCCAGGACTGGGGGGAGGGCTGGTGATGATAATTCCATCATTTGACTTCCACAGAGGGGGACATATTGCAAAGAGAAGCTTGACTCCTGCCTGACAAGGGTGTTCTGGTGGCAGTTCGCATGTAAGCCATCACTTAGAAGCTCAGAACTCACTAGGATTGGTTTGTCATTCTTTTCCTTTCAGTAGCTTAATGTCAGACCTACGGAACAAGGGGAAGAATGAATGGTTTTAATGGAAAGCGAGATCTTCTGAAACTTAAATATTTTTGTACAAAGAATGTAATCGATGTTCCTTGTAAATATATTTTTTTCTGATTCATAGGGAAGAGTTTTAATTTTGTTGAAAGGTGTGTAGCTCCTTAGAATATTATTTTATCTAGCTCTTGTCCTTATTAAGGAGAAAGCGCAGGGAGGAAATGATTAATTATGTGAGAGAATACACATGACAAAGTCCAACCATGCGGAAATTGTATTTTTAGGTATGTCCAGAGTCTTCAGGAAATCCTTGATTTTAAAGACAAAAGTGCTGATGATTCGGAAGCTATTTCTCGGTAAGCACATTTCAGCATTTTAATGTATTTGAATATACTGGGGCAACATAATCTCTTAAAATCTTCTTGGGCAAATTGTTGGTGTGTGCATAAAATTATCTTTAGTTTTTTAATAATGTTTTCATCTCATGGTTCTAACACAAGAACAAAGGTTGTTGAGTTCTCTGGAAGTAGATTTACATAGGCAGAGAAGAATGAATGAAAGTTGCATCCTCTCTTTTCTTGGCAAAGAAGCATCATATGAGCAAAACTGTGCTCATAGCATCTCAGGATATAAGCCATTAGCCAAAATCCTGTTGTGCAGTTACAAAAAATGCATAACTATTAGCAGTGAGTTGCCAATACTTAAGAAATGTAGGCATTACATGTTTCCTTCTGTATCATGTTAATCAACTTGCAACAGATAATGCTCGTGGAGATTTCTCAACTTATAGCAATTTGCTGCTAGAACTTAAAGCTTTTGCATAGTGGTGCAACAGGATTTTGGCCATTGTTTCTTAAGCATCCTAAAGAAAATGGCACTGCATGAACATGTGTGGGATCTTGCTCTGAAAACAATCAACTGTTCTGACAGGTATAGCCCCATATCTGAAAGTTCACACCACACATAAGAAATCCACCTAGTGTTTCAGGGCTCTGCACATGGTTCTTCTCTCACCATGCAGATGTCGCATGTTATTCATTGGCAGAAATCCTGTTGCTTCAAGTAAGTCACACTAGAGTTGGTCCATTGAGTCAGTAGGGATTTGATGAGTCAATGTCTCCATAAATTCCATTGATTCAAATTGGCCTGCTTAGTTATAATTTACTACACTAAAGCAGGTAGCAACTAGAGTCAGCCCATTTGAATCAGTCAAACTTTCAAAGGAGTTGACTCACCAAATTTCCTCTGATTCAGTGGGCTAACTCTAGAGCAAGATGGGTTTTGTTTGTTTCCTTTTGCTTTAAATCAGGAGTGGGCAAAGTACAGCCTTCCAGAGTATGGTTTGTAGCACTCCCCACATATAGGGAGGGATGATGGCTATTGGAGTCCAGCAGCACGTGGAGGGACATACTTTGCCTAGCCCTATTTTAGGTCTTTCCGCTTTCCTTATTCATATCAGAGGGTTGCACAATTTAAAACAATGGATGCATATGAAATACAGGTAAAAAAGAATAACAAAATGTTAGAAATTATTGTCGTTTGTGGTCTTAAAAGGACTGTTGGGCCATGTTGTTCATCAGCAAGTCTGCAGTGCAAATCCTTCTGGAACTGGCTAGCTGCACGCCACTGCCCAGGGGATGCCCAGGTGGACTTGCAAATGCTTTTCCACTTTTTGAAGAGGCTACATCTGTGTCCCTCTCATTTTTCATTGAAACTGGAAGTTGAAGTGTTGCTCTGTTGATAAGCCTGCCAGCTCTGATATCAATTTCATGGAGAGTATACTTGATTCCAGCTTTACAGATACGGTGATAACAATTCGGAATCGTCACAATGATGTCATTCCTACCATGGCTCAGGGGGTGATCGAATATAAAGACCACTATGGTGTTGATCCAGTGACCAGTCAGAATGTGCAGTATTTTTTAGACCGTTTCTTCATGAGTCGCATTTCCATCCGAATGCTTCTTAATCAGCACAGTAAGTACTTGTATTATTTGGGGAGAAGGTGGAGCAAGAGAGAATGTCTTTTGCAAAAGTATGTGTTGGTCTGTTACTCTGTCTGCGCAGGGAAATGCTGTTTGAGTATTTTTTTAAAAAATCATCCTTTGCTCTCCAGATATAAAATCTGCTGCTCTTGTGGCCTGTGCATTGCAAACTCACTTGCGGTATGGTACATTATGTTGTCTTTTGTTCACAGCCTTGCTGTTTGGGGGAAAAGTCAAAGTTAACCCAGCTCATCCGAAACACATTGGAAGCATTGATCCTAAGTGTGATGTGGTTGAAGTTATAAAAGGTAAATTCATGGAGAGCTAAAGAAGAAAATACATCTGACAACACATATTTGGTGTTATTATCAGTGGACTGTTGATAGTGTCTGAGCTCATTCATTCTGTTGCCGTCTCGCCCTTATGTCTGAGGAAGTGGACTTGATTCATGAAAGCTTTTGTTAAAATATAGCTGTAACTTAAATCTTTTCATAGACTAGACTCAAAGCATAGAGGCACTCTGGCTGTCATTTAAACTGACCAAGTGATGTACATGATGAATGTAAGCTGCTGTCGTGAAAACTTTGCTCTTCCATTGTAAAAGTGAGCGAATCTTGAAACTTTCCTCCAAGAACACCTGTCAGGGTGAATCCTGCTGACTGCTGTATGTCTGTAGATCTTAACCATTAAATAGCATTATTATGACTTTTTGGCAGATGGTTATGAAAATGCTAAGAGCCTCTGTGACCTCTATTACATGAGCTCTCCAGAACTTGTGCTTGATGAGCAGAATGGTAAGTAATGGGATGAGAAGGGGGGGGGCATTCCCGAGTTCTTAACAAGATCTTGTAGAAGGACTTCCTCATTCTCTCTCCTTCTCCCTGGACAGGAGTCATTGTAGGGTGTGTCTATGGTAGTTGCCATTGGCTGCACATCAAGCATGGGACTGACCCGCTCAATACACTGCAGAGGCAATGCCCATTCAGGTGCATTGCCTCTGCAGTGCCATGGTATAGTATCCAGAGAAATGCCAGCACCACATCACATGATAAAAAAAGACAAAATGTTTAACATGTGTTCAGGGAATATCCCATAACATGAAAACAAAAAGCAAAGTGTGCTGCTTATATACTGTCTCGTAGTGCTTAAAACACTCTCTGGGCAATTTACAATTTATGGTTATCTGCCTCCTATTTGCACACGGGAGTAATGCATTTACCTTCCACAGTACAGTTACAGAATTTGCTGTTATAATACGGTTGAGTATGCTAGGTGAGAACCTTAAAGAGTGAAGCTGCTTATGCAGTGGGACTGTAGCACAGGTAGTTTGCTGTCTACTCATGGAGATACCGAGGACCTTTTTGTGCAACCATCAGCCAGGCAGTTGTGATGGCACACTCCACTTAAATAACGCATGCATTGGAGGTCTCATGTTCTTACTGTACATTGGTGACATTCTTACATTGTTCTTACCAATATCTGGCGGCATCCAGTTGATTTGTGACCCTCATCTAGAGTCCGTAAAGTAGATTTTAGTGCTGAGTTCTGTTCCATGGGACATATTTCTATTGGGTATATCATATCAAGGGGTAGCTTATCTTACTTCATCCCTGTAACAGGCTGTTCCGTGGGACAGATTTTCCCCCTGTCTGCTGTTCTCTGTTCTTTGATGTGAGGACTGATTTACTTCAAACATACACATTGTGAAGCTGAATATTTTGCAGTATAACAAACACAGCCGGATAACACTGCTGCTTCAGAATTTTCTTTCACAAAACTGGTTTGGAAGGAGATGGCTGAGGGAAGCCCTTTTATCACATGGCAGCTTTTTGTTTATAGAAGAGCTTCAGGAACCGTCAGTGCTTCTACCTTAAGGAAATGTTGTAGTTTTGTCAGTAAGGCCCAGTGTACACATAAACTGTGGATAAAAGGACTCAAGGGGGGAGGATGCATGATATCTCCAAAATGAGTTTTTTAAAAAGCCTTAAATTGTCTGCATGGGTTCTGCTTTGTGTTTTACTGCTTGGGTCAGGTAAGAACATGTGAGAGAACTTTTTTTTTAGTGTTTGACTAGACTTTGGAATTCTTCCCAGCTAAGAAATCATCTGTCTTTTTCACTCTTAGTCATCTGGTGATGGGAAGGATCTGCCTATTTCAAGAAAGGTTTGGTAATATGACAGTGTTCGTGTTTCTTTAATGTTTGGCTGTTCAAATTGTGCTAGGTACTTAGGTTATTTTATACAAGAGCCAGGATTAAAATCTTAAATAAAATGAATGAGTGAACTTGAGGATGGTTAGCATGCTGCTGAGTTGATGTTGACACCTGCCAGTGTTGAAAGTAAATATGTATAAACGATATGATAACTGCAAGGAATACTTAGTTTTTGCTTTATTTTTCTCTTGCATATAAATAATAATCCTATCGTGACAGGACACAACACATAAAAGATACGTCCTTCATCTGCTGCTTCTGGCCTAGATGGAGACATTTTCACCAGAGCCGACAGTAGCAACCCTAGTGATCGGTGTGAAGTTCCAGTTGCAACCCCAGTTACTTACTAATTCCATACTAAGCAAACAGATGTACTTTAATTTTCATTTAATTGTTCCACAAGTACTAATATATTTTTTTGGGGGGGGCAGAGAATTTATAATAAAATGTCTAAGCTGAAATGGATATGTGTGAATACACACTTACACACAGAGCATGCTTTCATTTTTTGTAAAGGCCACACAGGCTACTCATCAGACACCAGTATGGTTTGCTTTAACTCTGAAGGTTTATTAAGTATTGATTGCTAAGAATACTGTAGTGTTCAGCAAGGGAAATAAGCCTTCTCTCCCATGCAGTGGTTTAAAAAATAGACCAGAATCTTCAAAACAGCCAGAAATAAGGGGACAAATGGAGAATAAACAAGAGCCCACTGACCAGTAGTGTTCAGATTTCCATTGTCCAGACAGATTATGACTTTGGTGCTGTGGCTGGCAGTTCAGGTTGCTTTTTTAAAAAAATGTATGCTTAGGTATGCAAGAAGGAGAACAAAACCTGTTGGGAACAGAGGTTCCAAACCTGGGCCTCTGATGTTCTTGACTCTAATTCCCTAAAGTCTCAACCATTGGCTACCAACAAAGGCTTCTAGGAGGTGTAGTCCATGTACGTCTTGGGGCCCAGGTTTGGGAACCATTGGTCTAGATTCAAGAAGGTAGTATTTTACTAAAGATGATTCACACAGTAATTGAAGTATATGGGGGTGTCTATGAGTGTGCATGAATTTTAATATGCCAAGTATAATGTGCCAGGGTCCAAGTAGTCCCGTTTTACATGTTCCAAGGGGCTTTGGAATAACCTCTTTAAATAGCAGTCCTCTACACCAAGATGAAAAACTGTGCTTGAAAATAATGTGGAGTTGGGATGCTTCATTTCAAAGAGTTAAGGTAGCCAGAAACCCCATTGGCCCTTTGGTGTTTCAAAGTAACTTTTTAAACCTGACCCTTAGACTTTTTTTTTTTTTTTGAATGACTGCCTTGTTTAATTGTGGTCAGACTTAATGAAAGTTGACAGTGGCTGTCTGGCTTTCAGTTGATTGTTTTCATCACTCTGCTTTCTCCCTTTTCTTTCTTTCTTTCTTTCTTTCTTTCTTTCTTTCTTTCTTTCTTTCTTTCTTTCTTTCTTTCTTTCTTTCTTTCTTTCTTTCTTTCTTTCTTTCTTTCTTTCTTCAGTCAAATCACCGGGGCAGCCCATGCATGTGGTCTATGTACCGTCACATCTCTACTACATGGTTTTTGAACTCTTCAAGGTTTGTACCAAATGTGCAGTATGTTGTGTATCCTGTGCTCTGGACTCAAAACTTAGGAAAGACCAATATGATAGTTCACACATTCCAAGATTATTATTATTTTTTATATATATATAAGAACACAAGGTGCATGCATAACCTGGGCCATCAGAAGGGATCTTTGTAGGTGTTCTGCTGATGCCTTCACACATGTATGAAGGGCCGCTTCTGCTCTCATGGCCCTTTTTGATAACACGAGGTGTTCCTTTTTCTCTTGGCACATGGGTTAATGTTTTCCAAGCCTCTGTGTTGTGTTGTGGCCTTTCTCTTTGTGCTAGGCAGCCCGAAGAAGAACAGGCTAGTGCCCCTTAGTGTATGAGGTGTATTAAAGCTCCATGGTTTTGGGGAGACTGGGTGTCTGGCTCAGACTATCAGTTCTGGCCAATATCCCACAGGAGTGGGCCAGGAGAATGCCCAAGTTGATCCCCTGTTGTGTACACAGAGCTGCCTTTGAAAGTGGCAAGGTTGTGTTCCCTACTGCAATTGCGTGTTTTTGATGGCTTCATAAATAAATAGAAAGAATTGAATTTTTGAAAATGGTTTAATGGCCATGTGTAAATTACAGGATAGGAAGGAGAATAAATTTTGTTGACCCTCATGCTTCAGGAAGAGGTAGGATGAGGGAGCCTTGCGCTGAGTGAGTCCTGAAGCATTCTCCACCACCAGTGAGAATGCCTTAAGGGCTGTCATTCAAGTAAGGGCTGGGCTTACAGGTCCATGTACTCTTCTTCGATTTTCGGGTCCTGTTGAAAATTCCAGTGTCAACCTTGCTGACAGCTGGAGTACCTAACCTCTGTTTTTCTATATCATAGTTCTCCAGAAAACCTGGCATGGGGCATTTTTTGTTTCAGTACATGGCTAGGATAAAGAATTACCCCCCCCCCCAAGATAAAAATGAGTCGATATCTGAAGATGTTTTGTCCTGTCTATTTTTGGAAACAAACATCTAACGTGGGAAGTTGCTGAAACAAGGGGACATTGATTATGACAGTGTCATAAAATGACTTGACTGCTGGTCTGATTCTGTGTGGATTCTGCAGCAGAATGTTACTTTGGGGAACTCAGGTGCCCCCCCGCCTTTTAGTGAATGGGAGTTTATCATGAGTAAGCAACAATGGGAAGATATAAGTTGACTCTCTCATATTTTGGAATTTTAGAATGCCATGAGGGCTACAATGGAACATCATGCCGATCGAGGTGTTTACCCTCCAGTTCATGTGCATGTCACATTGGGCAATGAGGATTTAACTGTGAAGGTAACGATTGTTTTAAAACGTTGTCAGTGCCTATCTCATAGTTCTAGCAAGTGACTAATAGGGCAAACCTCGCGGAGCCCAGTGGGGAGATCTGCCATCTAGAACACAGCTGGGACCTAAGCAGCCGGTGTGGGCACTGGGTTGGGAGAATGTAATTCTCGTGGTTTTTCCATTCAACAGATCTTAATCTTTCAAAGAAATGTGCTAGTTCTTTGAATAGCCCAGGCACTCATGGTTTTAGTCAGAACTAGATTGAACTGCTTATAATCCATTCTACCACACCCTGCCTTTGAGAAGTGTCTGAAACTTCAGTTGATCCACAATATATTTGTTTAGGAAATCCATATCCAGCCTTGAGATGGGATGTACTGTATCGACATGACAATTTGTATTAGATTATAAGAATACACACAAATCCAAAGCACCTGTCCTTCCTAAGTGTACCTCCCTTTAAAACTAGGGTCACAGGACAACTGTCTGTTGGAATAGAAGGTTCTTTTTGGGACGAAGGGGTTAAAACCCAGCTCCTTGGACCTGCTTCTTCCTAGGCTAGTGTAAGGTGCCAGGTTTGTCTTGACATTTTTAGGGAGTAGTATGTGTGCCCCCCCCCTTTGTCCTTAGTTCTGGGGCCAGGCGGTGTTTCCTTTCCCCTCTGCAGTTTCCAGGCAACTCACTGCTAGAACAAAGTATTCTTCAGAGCGAAACAGACACTGTTGCTTCATTATGCACTTGTATTGGTTTGTCTATCCAAGCCCGAGTGAACAACTTGATTTTGAAACTCTGAACAGCCTGGGCTTCAGCATTCTTCTAGAGGAACCTAAATAAATAAAATAAAATAAATATATTCTTGGAGGAACATGGAGGCCTTCCTGTGTCGAATCACTATAGATCAGCTGCAGAACATCCTCCCAGCCCCATGGCTGAAACTTGGCTTCACTTAAATGCTTATAGCTGCGTTGATATAGGGGATTCTAAACAATCTTTTAAAAAATCATTTACTTTGTATCATTATTCTATCGTATTTCTTTAAGTACTTGGAAGATCAAAGCTGATGCACAACATTTTAAAGAACATTTTTTCCACATATGCAGGCCAACATTTTTTTATGTGAGGATGTCTGCTAGTGTACCAATCTATTGTCACATCAGCCACATATCCTAATCATTTGTGCTGATGCCATTATTTAAATTAGAATGCACAGGAGAGTATTTCTGCTATTGTATGGCCAGAGAAAAGCATGCATTTTCTATTCAGGAAGCAGTGGTAGGTATTTGGAGAACAAGTACACAATTATATGCTGCAAAAAAGATGGTAGCAAAACAAGTACATGAGGGTGAATGGGAACATTCTTTAAAATAGAATTTCAAAATTTAAAACAGAACAAAGTTGTCCAAATTTGGCACAAAACAACCACATAGTGCCGACTTCCTGGCTTCAGTTATGGAACTCCATTCCAAAACCCATTTAATTAGAACTTTTTGTTGAGAATGCTTACTCATATCAACAATAGCTTACAGAATACTGTTTTTTAAATTCAAAGTAGTTTAGAAGATACATAATTTTAAACATGCTTGCTTTACATAGGAAATCTTTCATAAACTCTGGCTGCATATGCTTATTGCAGTAAAACCACAGCTATAGGAAGGGGGTGGGACCTGAAGGAGGGGGTGGCTTAGAAGGGTCTACAAGCAAGATTCTTAGCATTCACAGGTCATTATTTGAGACCTTTCTCTTCTGGCAGATTTTTCGTGAATGACTGGTGGCCTGAGAGGGTTTTAAAATACAGTACTATTTTTAATATAATGCTTGTTTAATTCTTTTTAAATACTTATATACTTACTGTTTTTAGCTTTTAAATATTGTATTTTTAATTATCTAAGCCACCTTGGGTCCTTTTTAAGGAGAAAGGCAGGATCAAAAATGTTATAAATAAATATTCCATAGCAGTTGGCCAGACTTCTCGTTTGTACTTTGGGAAACTAATTAGTCTCATTGAGGTAGATGGGACTTACCTGTGGGCAAGATGGTAGGTTAGGACTCCAGCCTTAACACAGGAATAAGTTTCACTGATCTTTTGTTAGAATTCCTTCTGAGATTGGTGGCTGGCAGGATCACTTGCAGTGCCCAGGAACATTCTGGATGCTTCAGAATGCAGAAGCATTCGTTTTTTGGATTAAGCACACATAAGTGCCAAAACTTTTGCACTGCAAGCCTGTGTGTGTATACTTAGAAAGATGCCTTATTGAATTCACTGGAATTTGTTCCAGGTAAATATGGTACTGTAGGCTAGACCTCAGGATTTCTTCCATTGTAAATTTGAGTGTGTTGTGTATTGCTGAACTTCAGTCCCCTAGAAAAACCTCTGGTTTAGTAATCTGGGCTATTACTTCTGTATCTCTGATTCAGTATGTTGGAGTATTGTCTAACCTTACTGAACAATATTGTGCCCACATTGCCAGCAGGAAGATGCCAATATCTCCATCTCAAAGGCCAGCCTAAAGGTTGACAACATCAACGTCAGCAGTCAAAATGGTCTATAGCAGTGGTCCCTAACCTTGGGCCTCCAGATGTTCTTGGACCAACTCCCAGAAATCCTGGCCAGCAGAGGTGGTGGTGAAGGCTTCTGGGATCTGTAGTCCAAGAACATCTGGAGGCCCAAGGTTGGGGACCACTGGTCTATAGGATCCCCTCTTGTCCCTGCAGCCATTCACAAACACTTAAGCCACAGAACATCCTACCACCTACCTTCTTTTTTCATCAGCCACTTCTCACCAAAACGCAAAGGAGTGTTATGGTTATTTTTCAACCAAGTTCTCTTGGTATTTATTGCTTGGGGCACAAAGTAATCCAAATGCCTAGGAAAAAAATGTGGCTTTCAGTTGAATGTGTGCACTCAAGTCCCTGCCTTCTGAGCTGGAAAGTACTTGCATACCTTTGAGGTGAAAAACCTTGGATACCCTGTCAGACCATTTCCTGACCTTTTGCACCCTGGACACAGAAACAGTTATCGCACATTCATTAACCAGCGGTTTCCTAAAGGACTGGATAGTCTTAGTGCCAATGTATAAAGAGCACATCTAGAAGTCTGTAATGTTTTCTTATGTTGTAGATGTGTGATCGTGGTGGTGGAGTTCCTTTGAGAAAAATAGACCGCCTTTTTAACTACATGTATTCGACTGCACCCCGTCCTCGTGTTGAGACCTCAAGAGCAACACCTCTGGTTTGTAAACAGTGATAATCTTACATGATCAGCTAAGAAATGAATGTTAATTCCCTTTTTTTTCTAGGAGAAGGTTCATGTTCATATGCATTGTTAATCTTATATATGCAGTATATTAGGATATTAACGGGAATGTTTCTAAGGAAAATGTAGGATTCAGAATCCTACCAAATATCTGCAAAGATAATCAATCTTAATTTATCAAGGGACTCCTTCAGATTCTGTTGCAGAAGTCTGTGTAGTTATCTAAGTGTATAAGATGTTGAAGAATAGCCCCACTTCCCGTAGGATACCCCCCCAGATATTTCAAGAGCTGAACATTTTAACTAACTTCCATTTTTTTTAATTTCTGTGAACTGATGTCAGTGTTATTCTGGTGAACAGCCTGGACCAGTTAACTGTTCAGTGGTCTATCTGAGTAGTGTAGCATCAGTGGAAAGAACTCTCAGAAGCTCACCCCATCTTTCCTGTGATCAAGCGGGAGTGGAGGTGGGGAAGAATCCACAATTTGCTAAATGGAGGGGGGGGATGTGATTTTTTTTTTTAGACGCATGAATGGAGCTGTAATCTTGAGTCCCATCCTGTAGCATTAAGACTGTTTACATGAATACGTGACTCGCATGAGTGGCTACATACAGGGATTAGCTGACTGAAGCGATGCTTGCATTAGCTCCGTTTTCAGAGATTACTAAAGCTGTTGTAGTGAAATAGATATAATAGTCAGGACTGCTAGCATCTGCTCCTGGAACAACAGCTCAGGAAAAGGAATAAGATCAGTTTCTTTCGTTTCCTGAGCTTTGTTCTCAAACTTAGGTACAGAGAGAAAATTCGAAAGCATTCTGTATTTCTGGTTTCTTAAAAACATAAAATAGTCTAGTCATACAAAAGCTGTAAACATTGTTAGTTGTTTTTGGTACAAAAGAAGGATCTTTTATTTGGAAGGCCCACTTGCTTGACAAATGAGGCTTCTTAGTAGAATTGCTAGCTGACCAGGAAAAACGGCACTGCTTGTGCCTGTAACAACAGCTTCATTTGCAGGCATCAGCAGGCAAACATTTCACGCTAATAGATAAGCAACGGCCCACTCACGTGGACAGAACAAACATACTAAAATAACCGGTACAGGCTTGTTGTAGAGCCTGGCAGCTCTGCTGCTTCGTACTAGAGATCAGTGAAGCCTGTAATAGCTGAACCCCACTTGGCTGAGATTAAGCCCCAGTAAACTCAGTGAGTCTTGCTTCTCCCTAGATAGGCGTAGTTTTACACTGTTTCCAGAGTTCCTTCAAAGACAATAGCCCCAAATACAGAGCCACAAGCTCCCTGTTTATGGTGATGCCACGACCCTTGGACAGGCATTTGTGCCAGCATTGAGGAAGAGCTGGGATTTAGGGGTGGAGCACGTGCTTGGCACATTCAGGGTCCCCGGCATCTCCGGATTAAGTGAAAAGAGGCCTCTGAAACTTTTGCTGCCAGTCATTGTCAATAATGCTGAGCTGAATGGTGCAGTGAAATCACTTGGTGTGAGGCACCTTCCTCTCTGCCACCACACCTTAATTTACTCAATAGTGGGATACTGTGTTGATGTGTGAGCTTACCTTGTGCTTGTGTTTCATCTGAGGTTTTCTAGTGCCTTCTGCTTGCCAACCCCACACTGTCTTGGTACATATCTGACAATGGGAGTCACACCAGCCATTATGAAATTGATGATATTCAGTGCACTATTGGTATACACCCCGGCCACATCCTGTATCAAGAAAATTGCATGCAGACTGCAGCATGTGCACTGGAGAGAACCAAAGTAAACTGTGACATCCTGCAAGCTTCCATTCAAACTGAAAGGAAAACCAGGGATGGGAGGCAGACAGTACTTTGCCATTGTGTTGTCCTGTCTTCACCTGAGTGTAGCAGTCGGTCTTCTCAGTACTACACCGCTTGGCCTGTATCATGTCTTTTTTCAGATGTTCCGTTTAAGATAAATGTTTCTCTTTCTGATTCTTTTGTGTAGGCTGGATTTGGTTACGGTTTGCCTATATCGCGCCTCTACGCTCAGTATTTTCAAGGAGATCTGAAATTGTATTCTCTAGAAGGTTATGGTACTGATGCTGTTATCTTCATAAAGGTACGTCCTCTGTATAACACCTATTTTGATAAAACAACTTCTGTTTAAAGCAGAGACTTGGATTCCAGCAAGTCACAGTAACACTACCTTCCCACCTCTCTTTCTCTCTCTCTCTCGCTCCCCAGGCTTTATCCACAGAATCTGTTGAAAGACTACCTGTGTATAACAAATCGGCTTGGAGACATTACACAGCAAATCATGAAGCAGATGACTGGTGTGTCCCAAGTAGTGAACCAAAGGACATGACCACATTCCGCAGTATATAGCTGCCTTGCAGGACAGATGTGCCCAGCTGAGGATACAGCAGTTTGTGTCTGTGCAGTGTAAATTGTGGATTATTCCTGTACAACTCTTTAATATTTTGTCTGAGGGACAATAGATTTCCATTATAGAGCTGTCAGAAAACCATACCATCTTTTTTTAAAAAAGCATTGTGCAGTGTTCGTTTTGTAAAGCAGAGATTTAAATGAATCCGATTCTTCCATCATGGATTGCTTTGGTCATTGGATCTGGTGTGCACATTCTACATCAGCTGTAAAGAGTCAAGTGCAGAGCTTGTTCTAATATTGTACCATTTAACGACCAGGTTTTTCATGGGATATCCATATATTACTGTTTCATAAACCAACTCCTTCCAATCAGCTGCACTAGTGTAGCACTTTGATGACAAGGATTCCCAAAGTGCTTCTCAGAGTCAAAGATACTTTATGGTTATCATGTATGTTTGTCTTTAAACATTCTTTAGTTTGTTCCCTCTAATATTAAACATCAGTCAAGGTACCTCTTTACCTTTTAAATATGTTGCACATGTTTCAGCTAAAATTAAAAGTACTTGCGTCTCCGTTTGGAAAGCACATACTCTGAACTTTACCTGTTGAATCAGTTATCTCCTGAGAGTGGTTAACTTCAGCTGGATAAAGTCTTGTTTTTCTAGTTCTAGGAATTTGGAATAAAACTTTGATATGGAATAAAATATTATTAATTAGCAGATTAAGAGAAATATTTTTACTTCTATTCAAATGAATAAGACACCTTATATTTAAACTTTTCTGTCAGTACAACAAATAATCTAAAAACACTGAGCATTAAGTGCCACTGATTTCATTTGGAAAAGGCTAAATTGATGTTTAACAGTACTCTATGCAAGTTTAATTTATTTGTTATTAGTGAGTACAGGTCTGCAGCTATATTCTCCTATTGAAATCAGTAAGATCTAAAAGCTCTTAACTTTTGGCTGAATTTTGCTATCACCTTTAGGAAAGATGATACTGTCACTAAAGACCCGTTGATATGTTGTTGAACAGCAGTAATATTTGCCTTAAGTTTTTCATAAGACAACAGGTCTTGAGTTATTAAAATAGTTCTGTGATTATATACCTTTGACAGCTGCCTACTACAGCTCACTTTCTTTACACATTCATCCTATTTCTCTTAAAATAATGCTTTAACAAAAGATACGTCAATTCTCTAATTTTTTTAGTGCTAGTATTTTATACTACTTTACCCTATTAACTACTTTCATTTATATTAAACTGTTATCTTTGCTGTCCCCAGCTCTTTCCATAAAAATCTCACCAAGAAACCAGGTAAGCTGAAATAATTACATTAAATCACTTGCATTCCAGTGAATTCAATTGAATTCTGATACCTCTGGCAATCACTTATTGCTGTTACAGTAATTTTAGAGAACAAACTATATGTCTATTCAGAAGTAAGTCAGTGGAGCTTACTTTCAAGCTGGTGAAGGACTGCAACCTCAAAATTGCAGTCCTGAACATATCAGGGAGTAAGTCCTATTGAATGTAGTGGGACTTAGGTTGGAAGAAATGTGCAAGATTTCTCAATTACATGAATTTAATCACAGAATTGAATCTTTTAATTACAGCCTTCTAAGCAAAAATTAGAATACAGATAATGTATTACAGGCTAGCTGATAATTTATGCACAAATTGTTTAGAACAATGGACAAAATTCTTTTGTTTAGCTAGGCAGGTGTAGCTCAACATTACACCTGCTGTCACTACGATAGCAGCAGGGCAGATGTGCCGTCCACAGAGCACTTTGATGGTGCATTGTGCAACATTTGCAGTGGGAATCATGTGACCAGTTGCGCAGTTAAATGGTGTAATTCCCTGTTGCAGGGTGTAACTTTGTTAGACTTGCACAAACAGGATTTTGACCAGCAGTTGCTCATCACACATTGCTGTTCAGTCAGTATACGGGTACACAGAGTTTATAGCTATTTCTCCAAGTCTAGATACCAAATTCCACTGAGACACATTTCTTGATGCGTAGAAGTTCATAACCTGTCTGCTGCACGAACCCAGACATTTGCAGGCCCTGTGATTCTTTCATGGTACTGTACTCTTCATGTCCAGCAAATGTGATATATACTCATGATAGAGGTAATCCCTGCAATTCTTCCTCATCTTATATCCCAGCTCTCTGCTGGTCATCAGTTAAATGTAACTAGCTTTAAATTGCATCCATAGTTTGATGATTTAATTGCCTTATTATTGATCCTTAACATTCATCTGCAGAGCTCAAGAATGTAATTTTAGCCAGTTTGCACTTACTGAGCAGACATCAGTAAAAACAAAGTAGTATGTTTAGAATACACTCTCAGGTGAGATTCCTAAATGTATTTGACAGGAAAAAGAAGTGTTGAAGAGTGACAGCAGTGCCAAAGTACATGTACAGGGGCAAAGCAGGATAGACTTGCCTATTTGTACTTTTAAATACATTGTATTGTCAGACAAGTCCCCATCAGCAATAGAGCTGTGAGGATTGGATCATAGTGTATGCTGGATAGAATAAGGCTTCCTTTATTCCAGACTCAGTGGTAAACATTTATCAGCCACAGTTTGATTATCTCAGGGTGATGGAAAATAGGAGAGAGGCTGGAATCATTACCCTCCCATTCCTGAATAACATCTGATTCTTTAGATACTTTTATATTAGAGATGTGGTTGTGTTCCAGTAACTAAAACTAAGTGCAGCCTTGTTGAACAGTTTGAGAGCCATACTCACCAACAGGTTCAAACACAATACCTAACAAAATTGGCATTCATTTTTGGATCTGCATGTACCTTGTCCTGGATGGATCATCAGTATTTTCAGTCATGTAAACTACTGAACCTTAGAGAAAAGCTTAACTGGTTTGGAATCTCAAGTATTCAATTCTAGGCATTAATTTGTAGTTATTTAAAAAGTTTTGAGTTTCATTCGCACAGTATTTCTGAAAAGATCAATTACAAAGCATCTTTATACAGTATGTATTATTCACATGCTGCTAGTGCTAGAACTAGGTTTAAACATTTCGCTTGCAGCTGGAAGGAAGAAATGGAAACAAATCACAAGATTTTATATTTAAAATTTTAATCTACTGTGAAAACAATGCTGGTTTGCAAGAAAATAACTGATTTTTGTAAGAAACAATAAAGTCTAAGAATTTCTAAGAAATAAAAAATGATGTCTTTTTTTAACCTGCTCTATTTTCTGGCATGTGCATCTCTAGTGTAACCATTCATTCCTGCAAAAGGCTATGAATTATAGTTCTACTGACAAAAAGCTGGGAGCTGTTGCTTATAAACCCGCAACACATCCAGATAGTGTAATCAAAAAGATAAAGTGCACTGCACCTAGTATTTTTGTACTCTTCTGTACATACAGTGGTGCCTTGACTTACAAACTTAATTGGTTCCAGAACTCCAGTCGTAACTTGAAATGGTTGTAAGTTGAAGCACCATTTCCCATAGGAATGCATTGAAATGCAATTAATCCGTTCCAGCCGAAGAAAAATATCACCAAAAACCCCACAAACACACATCAGAAACGCGGTTAATCCGTTCCGGCTGAAGGGGGGGGAAGAAAAGCAAACCGTGCAAGACCCTTCAGAAATGCAAAAAAAGCAAAGCAGAAAGCAAACGAGCGTGCAAGACCCATCGGAAATGCAAAAAAGCAAACCCCGCAAGACCCATCGGAAATGGGGGGAGATATCCCAAAAGCAAACAATGCCCACAAGACCCATCAAAAAGGGGGGGGGAAGCAAACCCTGCAAGACCCATCACAACATAGAAACATCCACCACCTAGTCCAAAACCACGCTGCAAACCCCACCTAGAACAGTTTTTAAAAAGCAGAAAGCAGCACCTTACCTTACCAAGCAGTCCGAAGCCTCCTCCAATTGCACTCTAACCACTAGGGCAAAAGAGCTACAAAGAAGCAGCCTCTTCGCCACCAACTGTTAGCAATTTGAATTCCCTGCCTTTTTCCCCTGCTTTTTTCTGTTCGTAACTGGAAACGCTGGTCGCAAGTCGAAGCAAAATGTTGTGGTCAGAGCTGGTTCTAACTCGAAATCATATGTTGGGACGTTTGTAAATCGAGGCACCATTGTATTTGAATGTCACTGACCTGAGATTAGGAAAGATGACTACAGGTGCCCCCCCTTTCAAAGTACAGTACGGCCATAAAATACAGGGTCAGCTCACATGTATAGGGCCTTGAAGCCCTAGCCAGTGAAGCTCAGGGGGACAAAACACACTTTTTTCAAAACAAATAATAAAAGGGTCCTCTTGAAAGCAGAGTGTTCCCCTTATGTAGTTAAACTGATGTGTTTACTATTGCTATTTTATTTTCACAGGTTGAATAGTTAAGATTTGGAAGGAAATTATGTGCTTTTCTCATAAACAGCTTTGAGCAAGTATGTAATCTAGTAAGTTTGCAAGTGGTCTTCTCAACCCTGCAAAACATTTCTGGATTGCTCAGCTGATTTACGATGTATTATAATACAGATGCAGACCAGAAGATGGGCAGTTAAAATAAAGTTGTTAGGAGATCCCTGATACATTAGTTTCACTTCCCCCTGGTCTGAATAGGCTTGTTAGATGGACAAAGGATGGGGGGAGGGATAATCCCACTTCTGCAGTCCTTCTGCACTCATTGTCTTGGGTTGTTGATGGTTAACAGTGATCTTGGGTCTGTCCCTAATCTTTTTGGGGAAGGATGAAAGGGCATCATGATAAATAGGAGACAGATTGTATCTAAGGCCTCCACCCCTGTTGAGTGAGGGATTTTCTATAAGCACTTGTATGGACTCCCTGACCCCTCTCTCAAATGATCTATCTTCTCAGTCTAAAATGAGTACATCTTGGTTATCAAATGAGTGTCTTTTGTCCTTCAAATGAAGGAACACTGCTGATTGTGGTCCTATGCCATTGCCCCTCCTGTGTTGGGCTATTCTCTTGTTTAGTGGCTGTTTGGTTTCTCCAATGTAGAGCTTGGATGAGTAGTGAAATGAAACATTTCAACCTAACAAGAAAGAAGTCCAGTTGCTATGACTCAACTTCCAGATAACTACACCTGAATGACTGAGAATCTTCACAGATATAAACTCCCTTGCTGTTAGCATAACCTTTTCTTGTGCTGCCAACACTCCGAAGTCACACAATGTTTAACACATCTATAGAGTCCCTTATATAACTCAGATTTCCAGAAACAATCACATTTTAATTCTTCTTAGGCATAAAACTAGGACATTAGTCTGAAATATACCTTGTATGGCATATACTGTAATAGGCAGGAAGACTACCAGATCCATACAGTCTTGCAGTTTAAAACTTAGCCTTGCCTGGCCACTTTCTCTGACTTTATGTCTGAGAGAAGTCATTATTTCTCAGTGTCTTTTTATTTTTGGCTAAAGCCCTGGAATTCTGGCCAGGAAATTCCTGTGGACTTTTTGGGACTGCTGTCCATGAATTCTGAAAATCCCATGCCTACTCAATAAGTTTTTGGGTGGCATAACCCACCATGTGCTGCTGCTGCCCATGGTTCATGGGATACTCAAAGAACTAATACCATTCCTCCTTCCTCTCGTCGTTCTTTGAATTTAACAGCACAGGGGATCCCTGATTTACAATGCTCCCTTTTACCACCTCTTGCTTTTACCACAATTTCAAAATTCACTAATATCTTCCCAGCATCCAAAGCTCACTTTTACAACCACTTGAACCCCAAGAGAGTGAGAACTGGGAGAGAGAAAGCAGCAGAGGTCAAAAGGAAGCACCCAGGAAACAAGCTAAAGAAAAGAAGGTGTGTGTGCTTGTATGTCCCCAAAATTCTCCAGGATCCAACCCCAATTTTAACATTGAACTTATGGGAAAACACTGGATCCCACATACAGTGGCTTGCTTTACAACTGGGAACCATTTAGATTGTATGTTGGGGGCTGCTATTGTACTATCATGATTTGAACAATTCAAATACTACTTTGGAAATGTTCATTACGTTCATTTCTAGTTATTCTCTATAACTTCACACCTGGCGTTTTTTAATCTTTTATTACAATATCGTTTTTCCCAGGAGCACATATTTAATTAAGAGGCCATATGTCACATTTACTTATGCAACAGGCACTCTAAAAATTCCAAAATTTTTAGAGTGGCACGGGTGGGGATAGTCCAGTGTGTATTGTATGTACTTCTTATTGGATTTGTATTTTTGTTTTAATATTGAATTTTTAAAAACAATTAAAATGCTTTCACAGTAATGGGAAAAAAATCCTAAATTCTAAATTGCTTTTTTGAATGAAATTTATTACATTTTTCAGAAGTGTCATTCTAATGTGGTATAGTTTCCCACAACAAATTGTGCTGTTGCCCAAATGCTGATGGCAGCTGTGTTTTATATTACCTTGGAAGACAAATGCTGTTCATGAAAAGGAAGACATTTGTAGTCTGCAATATAATTATATACAATGAAGAAATTCAGTGCTTCATTAATGCATTTTCCAACTATTCCTAACTTGGTATTATTTTAAGCTTGGAAGACCAATAGCATTTAAAAATCAGCAAAAATATAATTTTGGTCCTCAAAATCTGAGTAGGAAAAGTGTAATGCATGTTATATTACAGTATGCTCTTATTTGTCACATGGACTATAAAACTACTACATACAAAAGTGTATAAAACTGATTGGTAAAAGTTGAAATCCTGCTTCAATATAACCAACAACTTAGAAACAGTGTTGTTTTAGAAAATAAGTCATGAATTATATTACTACAAAGTTTTGAATTTAAAATGAACTCTAGAAGTTACAGCATTTTAAACATGTCATTAAATTTGATTAAATTAATTTTCTATTACTTTTTAAAAACTTAATTTTTCTCTATACACTAGTGGCAGCAAGCTATCTCCACCAAAACATAGTAATCTGATAGTTCTCTACATACCGTCCAACATTTTACTGTAATTTGTGTCACATCCTACTTTTCAAAAATTGTATATACCATTTCCAACAGACAAATCAGGGAGTTAGAATAACCAGGCACATATGTACATATTACTTGTGACAACATTAACTTACTGTTCATTAGTACAAGTTAACATTCTAAATATTTTAAAAATGAAAATATTTCATTTAAATCAATCATATAAACGTGGAAGGACTATGGAAGCTGGAGGTTGTGTCTTTAAAGAAAAACTCACTTCCTCCTTTCCATATTCAACGTTATACAGTAATATACAATTGTTGCACTTCTTCACATCGAAGTAAAGTCTGATAAAGATAATGAAGCGTTGGCAGAGCTCCATTTTAGCCCTTGAGAGGACACAACAGGAAGCTGCTGTATATGTCACCCAATCTCTTTAGCAACTTGATTCTACAGTGGCCACCACTCTGGCACTTTTCCGAACATCCTTTTCCTTTTTTTGACCTCTTTCTTTTTGTTTCTCTAGCTTTTCTTGTGCTTTTTTAATATCCTTAATTTTCTTCTTTATTGTTGATCGGTCATTTTGACTGGATACTCCAATGGCCTTTTAAAAGAAAGATGCATTATTATAGTCCCCTCAAAAAGTAGCTGTATTTGCCACAAAAATAGAGTTCTTTATTGTGGCATCGTATGTGGCCTTACAGATATTTATGTGTGAGTTGTATGAACACCCACAACCAGAAATTAGCAAAAAGCAAACAACAGATCCCCCCAAAACAAAACAAAAATCAAACTGTATTTCTTTCTACATATTCTAAAATCAAGCAAAAGTATTTGAACAAACTGAAGAGTCAGACAAATATCCACCCAAATAGTATTTTAAGCACACAAATACTAGCAGAGGTTTTGCAAATACCGTGTTTCCCCGAAAATAAGACAGGGTCTTGTATTAATTTTTACTCCAAGAATGCATTTTCAAGGGATTTTTTTTCATGTAAAACAATCTACATTTATTCAAATACAGTCATGTCATCTTCTGGGGTTTCACTTATCTGGGGCTTGTTTTGGGGGTAGGGTCTCTATTACGAGCATCCTGAAAAATCATACGAGGGTTTGTTTTCAGGTTAGGTCTTATTTTCGGGGAAATAGGGTAGTAGAAATTAACTGAGGGACTGCAGACTAATACTAATATTTAAAATAGAATTACTTATCCTAAAAACATAGTTAAAACAATCAACCTCAAATGGTTTACTTTATTCCAATTAAAAACAACCATCATCTTTTCTGATGCCTACTACAATACTGGTAAAATACTGTACAACAATGAAAATAAGTGGCTGAAAAGCTATTGCTATATATAGTCTGTGCCATGTAAGGCTGATGACAACAGTGGCAATAGCAATGTCCATCCTGAGGCTTCCGTGTAATCCCTGCAACTATTCAGAAGCTGTAGAAGTGACAGGACAGGAAGGGCAATCCTTTAATTACTGAAAACCACTTCCACTGGTGAAGTCTTTCCAGCAGTAGGGATTTCAGTAATTAAAGACTTCCCCTTCCCATCCTGTAGCTTCCATAGCTTTCAGATGATAAGGGTGCTACTGATGTCATGAGACTTAATCACAGTGAGAGGATTTCAGTTGTAATCCATGTGATCAACCATGACCCGCTCCTTTGCAAGAGACAAATGTGGGAAGTGTTAAGTGTGAACTGACCTCTGCATAGATATATACTGTTATTCCTGGCATTGTAAAACTGGAAGAAAATTGTTCTGCGGCCTGCCATATCTATAAATAGGGTAGTTCATACTGACGTTTGCCTAATCATACTGGAGTATCTGTCTGCACATAGGAGGATCAGACATTAATGGTATTTAAGTACAATCTCTGTGACAGCTTGGAATTTTAGGTATTTTCCCCAGATGGACGAAAAATCCAGTAATATAATTGTTGGGTTGGAGACAAAGGGTTATAATGTGTCTGAAAACTGTTAATTTGAGAAGACTGGGTCTGTCCTAAGACATGTGATACCATCTCTCCAGCTCAAGACGAAGGGGCTATGCTTTAACATCCTGCAGGGCTAGCTCAGAGTCGCTAGTTTCTTAGATCATTTTCAAATGTACTTCTTTAAACAATACACTAGAAGCTAGCCTGAAAAGAACAGCCTTCCAATGTAAATGTTTCTCAACCCCACATCAGCATAGCAGTCAAATGTGAAGTCTATGTTTTAATAAACTTGTTAGTCTTTAGGGTGCCACAGTACTTTGTTCTTTCTGCAGCAAAGCCTATATAAGATGTAATAATAATACCTCTTAATAATAGTATAACATTAGTGCCTTGGAAATTTCTCCAGAGACTGGTGTGTTTAGGGCAGGGATCACGCAAATAATCTCAGTTTAATCCTTTGTAGACTGGTATTCCTCCAAATACAGACTTATTAAAATGTTTCTCAAAACAATTTATCCACAGGACTGGAGAAAATAAGTAGTTTTCAGTTACGTGAATGTCCCATAAAGCTTTGTAAGAGAAGGGGGCTCAAGAAGACTATTAAGTCAAGACTAGCTTTTATAATGAATGGAAACAAGTGTATTTGATGATTTGGATGGACAGAGATGGATGGGAAAATATGAGTCTTGGAGATCAATGACGACAAAGCTGTCTCCCTGTGAAAGGAGAGGAATACAGTGGTGCCTCGCGTTGTTTCCCGTTCAGCGAAACATCGCTGAACGGGACAGGGAAAGCCATTGGAACGCACTAAACATCGTTTAATGCATTCCAAAAGGCTCCTTTACTCCCCGTTCAGCGAAGTTTCCTATGGCCGGCAGCCATTTTCGCGCCTTCGTTAAGTGAGGGGAGCGCGCGAAAACGCTGCGCGCAGCCATTTTGGGGCTTCCGGCGGCCATTTTGTCCGCCGAACAGCTGATCGTCGGAACTTCGTTTTGCGAAGATCGGTAAGCGAAACGCTTACCGATCTTCGCAAAGCGAATTTCGCCCTATCTAAAGCTCGTTGAGCGATCGCATTAGTGATCCCAAAAAAGGGATCGCTATGCGATTTCGTCGTTGTACGGTGCGCTCGTTAAGCGAGGCACCACTGTATTAGTGTCGAGTATCAGCATTCTGAAATGTCTAGGCCAAATGAATTTATTGAGGTTTCTAAGATCGAGGATGGGACGGAGTCCTCCATTTTTCCCCCCGGTACAGTGAAGTATCTAGAGTAGAAACCATCAGGCAGGGCAGAGGAAGGGATGAAGAGTATGGCTTTTTTTTGGAGAAGAAGGGAAATTTCTTCTTGAAGTGCCAATAAGCGGGGAGTAGTCTTAATGACAGTGAAAAGTGGAGTATGTTGAAATTCGATGAAATAGCCCTTTTCAATAATAGAAAGGACCCATTGTTCCTAGGTGATTCGAGACCATGCACTAAGGAAAGGGTATAACCTTGTTTGAAATGGAGTGGAAGTAGTGGTGGAAGATGGAAGAGGTCTATTGATACTGCTTACCTTTCTTCTGTTTGTGTCAAAAGAGTTGTTGATGTGGTTGCTGTTGCTGGGGTTGAAAGAATGGTGCGGTAGACATTGATGGGCCAGAAAAGGGTCTATCCTGCATTTGTACCTTGTATGTACGGTATGGTTGGTGGAATGGCTGAAATGGCTGTTGGACAAAGGACTGTCTGCGGTACTGGGGTCGCTGGTATTGAAATGTTGGATGAAATATGATCAAGCTATTTTTCGAATTTTATGAAGGTTGTCCATTAGTTCAACTGTTTTTTCATTGAAAAGGCCAGCACCATCAAATGGGAGGTCTTCAATTCTCTATCTGATGTCATCAGATATACCAGCTGACCTAAGCCAGGCATGGCATCTAAGAATAATAGATGCAGCCATTGCTTTAGATGTCACAGTATGGTGGGAAGAAATTCTTTGGTGTTTGGCCAGAGTAGAAGCCTCAGCGTGAATATTTAGGGCTTCAGTCTTAGAAGACTCAGGAGCCGCTTGAATAATGGGGAGGATCTTATTCCATAGTTGGCTATGGTAGGTTCCCATGGTGGTTTGATAGTTGGCGACTCGCATAAGAAATGAAGTGAGGGAGTAAAAACATCTACGGAGAATATCTGATTTTGTATTCGCGAAGGCTTTCATGGCTGGGATCTAATGGTTGTTGTGGGTTTTTGGGGCTCTTTGGCCATGTTCCGAAGCACTGTCCTCTGAAGATGCCAGCCACAGAGACTGGCGAAACGTTAGGAAGAACAACCTTCAGAACACGGCCAAAGAGCCCGAAAAACGCACAACAACCACAATATCTGACTTTCTTCCTTCTCGGTTGGTAGGTGCAACTGATGATTTGTTGCGAGCCCGCAATTAATTGGATTCAACAATAATTGAATTCGGTGTTGGATGTTTGAATAAAAAGGCAGTGTTCGGACCATGAGTTTTATAATGGTTTCCCACACGTCTTGAGATTTGTAATGATAAAGGGGGTTTGTCCCAGGATTCTTTAATCAAATCTAGCATAGCAGATATGAAGGTAAGGCTAAGTGGAGGTGTCGTCTCTTGATTAATATCATCAAAAACTAAATCCTGTTTAGGAGGTGATGGTTCTTCGATTTCTAATTGTAGGGACTTAGCCATCCTCATCACTAACTGGGAGTACGAGGTAAAATCTTCCGAAGATGAGGGCGGATGATTTTCCACTACATCTGATGTTGGGCTGGGTAAATTGGAGGGTGATTCTGGAGAAATATCATAGGCTGAATCCTGGGTCGATATGGACGATTCAGAGCATGGAGACTGAAGTTGAGATTTTGAAGGAGAATTGTGTCGAAGAAGGCTGTTGCAAAGCAGGGGGTACTTGGGCTGTACAGTACCTTCCATATCAGGAGGAGGGGGAGGGGGACCCTTATAGGTGGTCATAACATGTGTTTTGAGGGGGAGGATGTTTAGAAGAATTCTTGGAATGCTTCAACCGTGGTTGTTCCGACGATGAAGTAGTGTGCTTGAGGGCTGGATTGGTAGCAAGCGGGATCTGGTGAGTTGATGTCGACTGCGATGAGTGGGAACAGTGTCAGTATCAAGGTGGTGATGGAGACACAGGAGGTAAGTATCAAGATGGATACAGCAAAGCATATCAGACCCTCTTGGGTTTGGTGTAGTAAATTTGTTCTGGTAAGTCTTCGGGGAAATACAGATCATATTGTTGGTAGTATTGATCTCTGAGATCTTCTTGTGGTTGATACCGAGAAGATTCTGGGTAGTAATAGTAATCTCTATGTGTAGGGTCATACTGTACTGGTGACAAGTGTCATCTCTTTGCCTGATGTTTTCGAGGGGAGTGATGAGATGAATCTGAGCCTGAGATTTGAATCGGAATTGCCTGCCCTGATGACTCAGGGCTGGAATGGGCTGAGGCCTGGCTGGAGTGAACGTCAGCCAGAGAGGCCAATACTTGGCGACAAGCTACCAGCAGAAGCTGGAGCCTGGGCCGGAGGCAGAGGTGATTCATCTCTGTGTGACATCGATCCCGAGGCATCTCTAGATATTTCCTCCAAAATTGGGAATGGAAGTGTTGACTGGGGTGGTTGAATTTGTGGAATTCTCGACTGGTGAGTAGATTTCCACAATTTCTTAGGTTTTTTTTGAAGTAGTCTTATCTTTTTTCTTTTTAGATGATTGAGCTGAGGTCCTCGATGTCGACTTCGGTCTCGAGGTAGACTTCGACTTCTCCGCTTGGTGAGGAGAAGGACATTGGACTAGAGACTGGTTAGGAGGCTCTTGATCAGGTTGATGATCTGGGGACAGTGCAGATTCCATGGCAACTGAAGGTAGATTGAGGGATTTCCCCCACAGGTAAGATCGCAGCCTCTGAAGTCACAACTTAAGAGCAGGCTTCGTAAGCCTTTTACACTCAGGACAAGTGTGTGGTTGGTGCTGTTCCCCGAGACAGAAATGGCAACAGTCATGGCCGTCAGTGAGCGTGATCTTGTTATTGCAAAGTACGAACCACTTGAAAGGCCCGGGGGGCGGCATAAAAGACAAGGGAAAATTGGAGGGAAGATGGGGGAAAGGGTGGAATCGGCAAAAAAAACGGGGGAAAGAGAAAAGGAAACTGAATTGAATCGAAGGTAGAACAAATCAATTTAGAGGGGAAATGTCCAATGAAAAGGTGATTGAAATAAAAGAAGCAACTACCAGTTGCAGAAAATGGTCAATCGCTCTAACTCTCTCTGAAATAGGTCTAACCTAAAACCTAAGTGGTGGCTAAAAGGAACTGAGGGGACTTCTGGCGGGCAGAGCATGTGCTCCACGGGGGAATGTCCCACTACTCACATGTCTTTAAGCTCTAGAAACTTCCAAGAGGTCCTGCACAGGCGCAGAACCCAATTGTCTGCATTCACAGAGGCCACAAAGAAGAACCAAGGATATTCAAATTCAGTTTTGCTCTTGTATTTTTCTATAACAACGGTCTCTACCCCTGTACGTACTGTACTATTTGAATTAGGAGAGATAAGCTCACATACCTCATCCTCAACTTAGAGGAAGGGCATGTTATAAATTCAAATGATGTGTGTGTGTGTGTGTGGATGTGCACGTGCCAACTGAAAAGCTAGTAACAATTTGTCAACTAGATGTAGTATACCTTTTAATCAGCAGATGGCAACATCTGATAAGATTAGAAAACCTTCCAAGCTTTGGACATGTGAAAATTCCACACTGATAGCTTTTAAACAGTAAAATGCAGTTAAAGTTCCTATGAGTTTCAACCCATATAAAATGAATTTGCCTTATATAATAGAATTTTTAAAAGCCCCACTGACACCTCCGGTATTCACTTTTTAATAGAATGGGATTAGACTACCCTGTTTCCCCGAAAATAAGACCTAACCTGAAAATAAGCCCTAGTATGATTTTTCAGGATGCTTGTAACATAAGCCCTACCCCAAAAATAAGCCCTAGTTAAGTGAAATCCTGTTCTCCACCATTGTGCAGCATTGTGCAGCAACCAGAAGATGACATGACTGTATTTGAATAAATGTAGAGTGTTGTACATGAAAAAAAAAACCTGAAAATAAGCCGTGCTGCATTTTTGGAGCAAAAATTAATATAAAATCCAGTCTTATTTTGGGTAAAACATGGTAGACTCCTGGCATTTATCCTATAGTGGAATCCTAAACAGATATCCTTTCAAGTTGAGTAGATAGGGTTGTACATGGGTGCCCCAATTTGGTCTGGAGGCCAAATCAGCACTTTCATGTAGATCCTAATATAGTCTCTGGCGATTCAGGAGCTGCCCAATTCAATTCATGCCTTGGACCCAGGTCAACTTATACATTCATATTATTAGCCTTTCCAGTGATGTTTATTGAGAATCCAAAGGATAGCCAAAATGGCTACAATTTTTATTCTTCTTACCCTGATATATGTGAGATCTGGAGATTTCAAAGGCACTGTGACCAAAGTGAAATTCCAGCCTCACAGCACATGCTACAAGTGCCACTGAACAAAGCTGAGCTCTCCCTCCTTCCCTCTTAATTGGTTTTTTTATATAATCCCTTCCTGCACAAAGCTTTTTAGATGGCAGAATCACCGAGTCAATACAAACAGCCTTTGCTTCATCCCAGAATCAACTCTGCCCATTCTGTTTCGACAGATCCTGTAAAAACTGGTCTGGGTCAAGGCAATTTGCTTCAGGCTTCTGGATTTGGCCAAAGCGGGGATACAACCCAAATTTATATATGCAATCTTAATGAATGTGCAATGGAAGTCTTAACACTGGGAGAATATTTAAATTGTATCCTTTTGTTCTGGTAGATACAAGAAGATTAGAGTTTAAGGTTAAGGTAGAAATCTACTTGCAAAAAGGTTTAGGGGAAAATATATATTTTCAAAAATAAGTCCTCTGTCAAGGCAACACAAATGTTGTATTTTTAAAATGTTACCCAAAAAAAAGGTATCAACAGGAACGACAGCCTGCAATTTTGCTATGAAGTAGTCCTTAGTTTGTAACTCAATGGTCTGTTCAACTCAATTTTCACTAGGTCAAAAGGCAAAGAGGTACTAAGAGACAGACACAAGAATCCTGTTTGTAATTAATGTGTGCGTAAATTAAATTGTACAACTCACTGTGCTACCAACTAATAAGATACTGATTGTGTTACAAAGAATGCAGACAACTGTACAACAGGTGTGCACCTAGTAAATGCCCCCTCATTAGCCGCTGGCAATTTTCTGCAGTGAGTTATGGAATTTAACTTAGCATGGAAAGATCACCAGGAAGATTCTGTTGTTGTAACTGATTATGTTGGGATATACTTCAGCAACAACCAACATAAAGGACTTCAAGGAAAAAGACTGAACAGAATGTTTTATTTATAAGTTATATAATACTCTTTTAGTTCAAAGATTCAATTGTGTCTAGAACACTTGTATTACAGTGTAACAGCTCATGAACAAATTCCATATTTGCACACAAGCAACTGTTTCCAGGAGTATCTGTTTTACTCCATCTTGCCGCACGAAAATAACAAAGATTTGCTTATGCTATATCCTCAAAGGCTTTCACGGCTGGGATCCGATGATTGTTGTAGGTTTTTTGGGCTGTTTGGCCATGTTCTGGAAGTTTTTCTTCCTAACCTTTTGCCAGTCTCTCTGGTCAGCATCTTCAGAAGAGCATCTTCTACAGAAACTGGCAAAACGTTAGGAAGAAAAAAAATTCCAGAACACGGTCAAACAGCCCGAAAAACCTACAACAACCATTTACTTATGCTACTTGCCATTAATTTATACTGCTGATCTGAACCAAGCTTACCTTCAACTTATCACTGTCAAGCAGCATCAACTGCTGTCCGTCTATATTCTTGGCTGTGAATTCTGTGATGTATTGCTCCATGTTCATTCCCATTAGCCAATGGCACACTTGTTGTGTTGTCCATTCAGAAATTGGTTTACTGTGCCACTGGTTTTGTTTCCCTGTAGCTGCTGGCTCATCATCTGAAGTCTGACCAAACAAAACCAAGCAAATAAATTTATATCTACTATATATTTGATTTACAGATTTCAGTTATTAAAACATACTATTTTCAATGCATGAAATCTTCAGTGACTTTCACAAATGCTTCAATGTGAAGTTTTTAAAAGTATGCCTTTTTATGTGCATCATACATCCACAGTATAAATTATATAGAAAATCATGTGCAAAATGGTTAATTACAGAGAAAACTTCTGCCTCTTCTTTCTTGCCACATGTTTTATTTGAGCATCCTTCTAGAGACAAAACTATTTTTGCTACACTTTGGGGATTGACTAAAGATATGTCACAAAATTTGTTATGTACATGTCAAACAATTTAAACACTCCTGACACTGTGCTCAAGTAGAAAAAGTGATCTCCTTTCAGTGGATGAAGGAAGTTCAAAACATGTTTAAAACATTTTAGTAAATTACACTAGTTTCAGGCACTATTTGACAATCTGCTATGATCAAACTGACTCACTTAATGATTAAACTGACCAAATGTTAGAAAAATAACAGTCATATTTGAAATAACTGAAAGGATCATTCCAGATGGAGGATCTTACATTTGGGGCATATATGACAATCTTTTCTTAGCAAACATTCATCACAAAATGTGGTCGATACGAAAACTAGGCCAATATGAAGAAGAAACTACTAATAAAATGATTTCAGTATGAATGCTAGAGGCAAGGAAACAACACATCCTTTGTATCTACCAATTTAGAAAAATTGTAGTCTCCATGGGCAAACTCATCTGAAGAGACAATGGGAGTCAGTTTTCATCACTTAGCTTCTCAATTATACAAATAATTATGTTACGTTTTACTTGCTTGCCACAAGCAATGTGGCTAAGGACATTATGGACGCCATTTTCTCCCACTGCTTCTGCAATGCACAATGGTTCTAAGGCCTTTTGTTTCTCTAAAGAAAAGATGGTTGTACAGTACAGTGGTGCCTCGCTTAGCGAGCGCTCCGTTTAGCGACGAAATCGCTTTGCAATGAACTTTTTGCAATCGCTTTATGATGTTCCCTATGGGGTATTTTCGCTTTGCGATGACCGATCATCGCAAAGTGACCATTTTCGCACAGGTGATCAGCAGTTTCAAAATGGCCACCGGGAAAAAACATGGCTGCCCGCTGTTTTCTGGGATGGATTCCTCGCTTAACAGGTAGCGAAAATGGCCGCGCTATGGAGGATCTTCACTGAACGGTGAGTTTTAAGCCCCTAGGAACGCATTAATCGCGTTTTAATGCATTTCTATGGACTTTTTTATTTTGCATTGCGACATTTTCATTCAACAGCGATTTCACTGGAACGAACTAACGTCGCAATGCGAGGCACCACTGTATTTTTTACTCAAACTATATATTCCAAACAACACAGTTCTTCACTATTTCCAAAAGAAAAGAATCTCAGAACATCAAGGTCTTGTGGCAATTCAATGTCAATCTTCTCTGAATTCTCATCAGGTCAAAGTTATGTCAGTACTAGATAAGCTGTAATGGCCAGAATCCTTACATCTGCTCACCAAGCACCAATGGTGCAACTTTTTTGCAGCAAATTGCTGTTAAGAAGGCAGTATAGGCATGTCCTATTGCATACCAACTGCAAGACTGACTGTGCATTTAGAAATGCCTACTCTGACTTGTGGCAACTCCCTCCTAAGAGTTATGCCACTGATGTTAACACTAGTGAGAATATACGAAACAATCTGATTTACAAGTTCTATCAACAATAGGTTACATATCCAGTTGCATGCTTTCATTTGTGTGGGAAGCAATCCCATGGTACTTCTGGAGTTGAAGGATCAGCTGACAAGGCCCTGCTGCTGCCTAGGGGGACAACTGCATGTGTTTACAGCCCTCACATTCTTCAGGGAGGCTCCTTCTGCGGCAACTTTCAATTTCACTAAAAGTAAAAGGCTTGATTACTACTGAAACTTGCCTGAAGGAAGAGTGGCATTCCTTTTCCCCTTAGATTGTCATCTCATTTCCAGACCACCAGCAGTTTATAAACTGACTAAAAACCACTATTCCAGTCTGTGTACTTTCACCACAGCAGAAAGCTCGGGGTCTTTCCCAATTTAAAAATCATTTCCTGCATTAATCTCTGTGACCATAAACAAATTAAACTATTTGTGTATGTGTGAGAAAATGTGCACATAGCTACACATTTTTTTCAAGCTGCCACTGAAGTTGCTTGCGGTGCTGAAGAGGCACTGTCTTTTTTGTTAAATTAAAGGTAAAAGTAGACCAGGATGTCACATACATTGTAAACAGTCTACTCCTTAGCCCTTCAGCATTTCATTCTACTTTCAGGACCACCTGAAAGAGCAGTAGAAATCAAAACTTAAGAGCCACTAATTATATGAACACAAAATAAACAGAAATGTTTCAAGGATGTAATATAAATAGTACCCTAAATACATAATACAGTAGTTCTTATCCTGTCAGGGTGTGATCACACAGTGAAATCACATTTCGGACCACTTGTAGAGCAGTCCAATGCAATCTGCTTCCCAGTGATCATACTACAAGGAATTCTGTTCCAGTCCGAACTCGCTCTGTGATCAAGGTGGACGTTTTTGGTCAAGCTGCAGGGCAACTACTTTTTGGAGCTAGGCTGAAGCTATTTCCAAACAGACCCAAACAGGGTCATTTTAAGGGTCATTTCACTTCCTGCGAAACTATCCTTTCTAGCACGGATATGTGCCTTTCCAACCATCAAATAACATCCTTGGTTTAAAAATGCCATGTCCTCTGAAGCCCCCAACGCTCTGGAGCAAATCTGGGGGTACAGGGGTCTATAGGACAAGGCAAAATTGCCCTCTCTTGGTTCTGTTTTGTCAGCATGGCTTAATAATTAAATTTCCCCTTGGAATTTCCCCCATGTTATTGTTCTATTCAAATGTTCAAGAGTAATCAAGCATCTAAAATTTGCTTAGTAATATTTAAAACTCATAAATAAAAACTTGTAGATAAATACAGTGTACTGTGTTTTCTGTACAGAAAACTAAATTAGATTCAGCTGAAGGAAGAGTGAAAATTGATAGAAGAAAAACTCACAATTTAAGCTATGTAGGTAACACCACATTAAAGTGAGAAAACAGAAACAGCTAGAGGTAACTACTGGTGACACTAAAGAAAGGGTACAAAAGCAGGATTACAGTTGAACATTAAGACAAAAACCTATGTCTACAGAAGAATTCTTTAATGTTGACAATGGACAGATCAAAATTGTTAACATATTGACTACATGTTAGTTCAATTATTAATCCAAGTGGAGACTGTTCCTAAAAAATCAGAAGACAAAGACTTGGAATGCCAGCTATGAAGGAACCAGAGAAGATCCTCAGCTACAAGGATGCACTGCTGGAGACCAAGGCCAAGATCATCCCTATTATGCACTTCTGAAAGTGGGAAAAGAAATAAATCAGTTCATTCAAAATGTGGCATGGGATAAGAGCTTATGAATGTCATCGTTCATCAGAAAGACAAATAAGTAGCTTCTATATCATGTCAAGCCTGAATTCTCACTAGAAGCAAAAATGGTTACATTAAGACTATTTTGCATCTTTTATGAGAAAATAAGATTTTCTGGAGAAGACAAAAATGCTAGGAAAAGTTGAAGGCAGTATTTATTTATTTATTTAATTATTGAATTTATGCCCTGCCCATGTAGACTGGTCTACTCTAACAATAAAAAATAAAATAAAAACAATATAATAAAATAAAAAACAACAATAGTAATATAGTTCAAGATGGGGAAAAATAGTTGTGATGACAGGAGGGAAAGCCTGCCTAAAGAGCCAGGTCTTACGTTTGCTCTTAAAAACACCCAGCAAGTGAGCCAGACAGATCTCTGGGGGCAGATTGTTCCAAAGGCGAGGGGCCACTGCTGAGAAGGCCCGGTTTCTTGTTCTTTCTCTCCGGGCCTCCCTCAGCGTCAGGCCCCTTCCTGGCTAGAATGAGTGATTCAGGTAGATATAGGTAGGAGGAGGCGTTTTGCTAATATCGAGGTTCTAAACCATTTAGGGCTTTATGTCATCATTAACACTTTGAAATCAATGTGGAAACGAATCGGCAGCCAATGCAAGGCAGCCAGAGTGGGGGAAATATGCTTCTCCCACTGAGAAGTCTGGCTGCCGCATTCTCACCACCTGAAGTTTCTGCATCAGCTTCAAAATAGCGCCACGTGTGTGTGAACATGAGATGAAGACACAGCCTTGAGTTTGCAAGATCCAAACAGGGCTGTTGTTCAAAAGTCATTAATTCATATTGTCACCTTCAGTCAAAAGTGGCTTTATGACTCATAACACTTATTATTAGGAAGGATAAGCTCATATATGCTGAATCTTCTAGTTGTCACCAAGAGAGAAGATGACAAACAAGTTACCTAACATAGATGTTCATTCTTATCTCATTTTCATGAGGCCTCCATCTGTAGGTTTTATTTGTAAAAATTTTTATTTAGAAAAGTTTTATTTGGAAAAGACAGGGATTCTGTACTGTGACCTCTGCACACCAGGACTCCTAGCTTTAGTAGTATAGAACTAGAGACTAGAGCTGTGGGTATTCGTATACGAATATCCCTGCATAGCTGGACTTAATTCACAGATCTAGCGGTGGCCTCCCTCATCCTTCCAATCACTCCCGGACCGCCGCTCTCTTCCCACTTGGCTAGTCACTCCTGACAGGCAGAGGGAGGAAGAGTCTCCTTGCATGGCTGCCTAGTGGCCAGCTGAGCGGGAAGACAACAGGGCTCATGAGTAATTGGAAGGAAGTGTGAGGCTGCCACCAGATGCATGAGTGGCCGGTCCGGCCCCAGGGGCCAGACCGTCGTTAAGTCTAGCTGCTCGGGGATATTTGTATTCATGTGATTTCCATGAACATTTATGTATCTCCTTTAGGAAGTAGGAGACCTAGACCCATATACAATTCTCTGCTTGTTGGAATTTCTCTGTATTATCAGTATGTCTCTAGTAGAGATGGGAGTATTTGTACGAATATACAGTGGTGCCCCGCATAGCGATGATAATCAGTTCCAGAAAAATCGTCGCTATGTGGATTCGTCGCTGTGCAAAATAAAAAAGCCCATAGGAATGCATTAAAACCCGTTTAAAGCGTTCCTATGGGCAAAAAACTCACCGTTACGTGAAAATCCTCCATATGGCCGCCATTTTCGCTGTAAGCGAGGAATAGGCGCGAAAACACAGTGGGCAGGCATTTTTTTTACCCGGCGGCCATTTTGGAGCCACTGATCAGCTGTTCTAAAAACATAGCTATGCGAAAATCGGTAAGCAGAACAGCTTACTGATAATCGCAAAGCGATTTTTTACTATTTAAACATTGCAATGTGATCGCAAAAACGATCGCAAAAAAACATCGCTATGCGGATTTGTCGTTAAACCAAGCGCTCATTATGCGAGGCACCACTGTATACCTAAACTGGTGTACTACAGGGAGGGAGTCACTGAATGTCATGAATGGACTAGGTGTTACAATATTCTGCTATCAAATATTTCCTCAGCCAAGTAAACATGCCTTGAGGAGAATAACAGTGCTTGTCTAAATAGATAATGGGGACAGGTAAGTAAAAGCACTAGAACACGGGATGAAACTGAAGAGTCTAGAAGGCAAAAAATAAATGTTTTTATTCAAGAAAGAGTATGTAAAAGAGTAAAATAAATGAGGGTCAAACCAGGGAAGCCTCTAATATTGGAAAACTGTGAATCCTTGCCATCTTGATTCTGCCAGTGACATTGGAGCAGTGATTTTGTGGCACCCAAGACTCCTCCTTCCCCTACTAATTCTGAGGATCCCAAAGACCTTCTCAGGTTAAGGGGATCCCTAGAGAGGAAGGTAGAAAGTTTAGTTATATTAAGATGAGGAGTAACAACACTGCAGGCTGATGACATCATTGCCATTTATGCCCACACACATACGCTCAATAGGATTTCAGCAACTAACTGCACAGACTCCCTGCCCTGTGTATAATAAACATAAAACTGCTAGTTATGTAAATGACTGACATTGTCTAAAGAGCATTAGAAAGGTAAATCAACCTAAAATACAAAATACTGTATCTTCATCTAAATATTTAACCTTTACTTCATTATCAATTATCTCTTTATCTGAAAATACAAATGTTATTAAAATATGCTCATATTCAATATCTAACCAATGTTGCCATTTTGTCACAACATTTGCCAGAACTGAAAACCAGCTTTATTTATAGAATATCTTCAAAAGTAATGAATAATATAATTAGTGAGAAGAGTCAAATGATACACAAAAACATTTCAAACAAAAATTTATTAAGGATACAATAATGATTTAATGTATGCATCCTTTTATGGCATATTAATGTTAACATTAACTTAGAAAAATATTTGAAGTGTAAGGCCAACAACCTACTAATTTCATTTTAAACAAACCTAAATGGCATAACGACTTGGAATTGTGACAGCAACAGTACACAGACACACTGAAACTCACCTCATTTGAAGAGAAGGTTAAAGTGTGTGAACGCCCTGAAAGATTTGGCTCTGTCACTAACCCTGACAGATCACAACTTGGGTGGCTATGGTATGAACCATCTATGACAATTCTACTCTGCAAACAAGTGAAAATAATGTTTTGTTAACTTACTCCTTGGAATAATCAATCACAAGGAGACACAATATTTTTTCAAAGTACCTTACCATTCAATAATAAATCTGATTATCTGAGCATTATTTGCACAGCCATTTATACTGTTACCTTGCAATTTAGAAGTATTCAGCTGGTCTGTATGAACACTTTCAGAAAGTTCAAGGTTCAGTGAAATAGAACATTTCCAGCACACGGAGTTAGTACAGACATTTTTCTGTAAGACCAGTATGTGCCTGGAACATGATCTTCTGAATGCAAACTGAAATCCCAGATTCCACCAGCAGCATCTTGCAGGCATTTCCAATTATGCAAGGAAGGGCGATTTTTGATGCTCTCTTCTCCTTCTGCACTGAGTTGCAGCCTCACATGTCACCTCCAGCTTGTTATGGAGACAATGCTCCATCTCTCAGAAGCAAGTGGCTGCAAGTGAAAGGCACTGGAGAGATATCTACTCAAGCAAGACAGAAGGGAGTCAGGCTGCTGATTGCATTTTTGCTCATTTGCTGTGAAGTTTTCCATTCTGGCAACAAATTACTGATTTGGAAATTATGCTAGTGATCTCTATTTAATGTTTACGCTGTAAATATTTCATGAGAGTTGCTAGGAATTACTCTTTACCTTTGTACCTGGCATGTATATGTCATCTGTGGAGATCTAATTGAAGAGTATTGACCATTTTGTCTTGAATACCACCCCATATCTAGTCGTCACTGAGGCACAAGTGCACCTGCTTTCCTTCAATAACTTTCAGCACACAGAGTTGTAACTGTTAGGCTGTGATAAGGAGTGAGTACAATTCCAATGGTGTTGGGGGCTGTACAGGGAGTAGCTAAATATCACATGCTATAGCTCCATAGCAGCAGGTTGAGCATCTCTCCTCTAATTCAGAATATTTAGTTTTCTTCTAATCTCAGCCTCCATTTCATCTGAAATATTGTTTATCACAAAATTCGCAAAATATCTGTAACTGCAACCAAATTCTTGCCATGCTAGTAGCTCTTCTAGTAGCTTTTCATGCTTCTGGCTATGTTTTTCTGACTACAAATTGGACTGAAAGACTGGGGCTGAGAACTACCACATAGACTCTCCCTTTTTGAGGACAACCTACACTCTGCCTCCAAAAAAATTCCAGCCCTGCCTTCAAATTGCAGAGACAGGAACCAATGAACGTCATATGTTGTAAGAACTTTTTGTTTTGCCTTTTGTCTCGTGGCATCTCCTCTATTCAGCATAGGCTTCCCCAATCTGCTACTCAATCAGCTGCTTGTCATCTCTCACAGGCTATGTCTGGATGAGTAGCTTTCAAGAACTGGCTAGGCACAATTGCTAGAGCCAGTTCCAGTCTGGAAGAGCCACTAATATCAGCACCAGCATCATTCAGAATCACTCAGGGTAATATAAGCATGAAGTTTTTCCATGTTATCCTAATTTTAAGCTGGTTTCATTTCAAGAATCAACTTGAGAGCTTTTTGCTAGCCCAATTCCAAAACCAAGATTCTTGATTATTATTTATTTCTTATTTTAAATTTGTTTCCTCCACTAGCAAAGAAGGCCATGATAACTAAACATGGAGTTGTAGTTATCACGAAGCTCACTTTCTTTTAAAATTGTGGTTAAATATTTGAAATCAGACAAGTTTTCAAGAACAGGTCACTGTCTTTAATCAATGTGGAGCCTCTTCCAGCTCTGCAATGCTAAGATGATGATGATGAATATATTTAATGATGTCATTTATACATCAAGTCACGTGTCTCGTATATGCTGTGATTCTGTTTCGTGCAGTGAAAAATGCGGACAATGTGACACCATCACTGAGTTTTATTTTAATAATTTCCTTGCCTTTTAACACTTTCATCAGGCTACTCTCTCCAGTAAGTAGTACTGACATTCAACTGAGAAAACAGGGTGAGTTTCAAGTAAATTGTCAGAAGGCAAATTCTATGAAAAGAGCAAATTAAACAATATGCAAAGACAAACAACACTAAATCTTTTTGAAAGAAACCATGAATGGATCATGGTATAAAGATGATCAAGGACAAAGTTAAAATACAAGAGCATCTGTAATCCTGTTGGTTTGGAAGGAGGCAAAGAATGTGCAAATGCAACAGGAACTGTGCTCTTTACCCAGTTAAATTAGTAGTGACCCTTGGGTAAAGGTCAGTGCCTAGATCTGTATTAGCCAACATGGCTCAACATTTCAGTCCAATCTAAAAACGAAATGCGCCTATTGTTCTTCAGTTTCTGAAAAACTAAGACGATGAAAAAATAGCCAAATATTAAATCTAACTGCATGGAATAGATATTACAATGTGAAATTGTAGTTGGCATTATCTACTTAAACACTGTACACAATCTTCAAAAAAAATCCTAAAATATTTTAGATCACTAAACACCATATAGTAGTAGTTTTCTATTATAATAAAAAAAATCTGTACAATAATGTACAAAAATGTACTTTTTGCAATACTGCTGAAAGAGAAATTCACCAATCACGTTAAAAAGATAAAGTACAGTGGTGCCTCGCTTAACGATGTTAACTGGTTCCCAAATAAACATCGCTATGGGAAAACATCGCTAAGCGAAACACCATTTCCCATAGGAATGCATTGAAATGGGAACGGATTATCGTCCTCAAGCGAAAATCGCCATAGGAAACATCGCTAAGCGAAACAATGTTTCCCCCATTGGAATGCATTGAAGCCTATTCAATGCATTCCAATGGTTTTGCGATGTCCGTTTTGCAGTTCAATGCATTCCAATGGGGGAGAAATAAATTCACCAAAAATTAACGAAGACTCAGAACAAAGCCAAATTAAGTTTGCAAAGGTTTTACAAGGTGCACTAACTATTCCAAGCATTTAAAACAGTTTTTGAAGATTTTAAGACACTTTTAAATTAGCGAAAATGGAACATCACTAAGTGAAACAGGGGACCTAAACTTTCATCGCTAAGCGAGGCAAGGTCCCGAACATCGCTATGCGAAATTTCCCCATAGGGAACATCGCTGAACGGAGCACAAAATCGCTCCAAAAACAAATGATACAAAAGAAACAAGTTTGTCTTCTTTTAGTGTTAGCTTAGCATTTAATAAAATGTAACATCTCTCTCACGTTTAATCCAACATAATCAACCACCAGGGGCATGCACTATATTCAGACAAATGTCTGAAAACTGAATCAAGAGTGGTTGGGTTATCTGGGGCCATCACATACCTACTGGTTGCACACAGAAGAGGAGAAGGAAAGTGGTATCTCAACCCCCTCCAATAATGTACAAGACCCCTCCTGGGCAGTCCAACCTCTAAGCCTTAAGGCACTAGGAAGGACCCAGACTGAAGTCATTGGGCATTATATATCCTCTTGCAGCTGTTACAGGAAAGACTTGTCATCATTCCTAGCTAGGATTTGCATTGCAGAATTTTACTAAACTTGATTATGATCTATTATATGTGACTGTAGATGAATTATTTTTGCATGGGTTTTGAGTGGCTAGGTCAAAATAAATCTGCTAGGCTCTTTTTCACTGTTCCCCTACCATATTTTTATTTTACAAGTTTGTATGGTGCTGCAACTACTATCACTAGCCTTTCTATCTTGCTTCAAGCGTGTATGTGTGCAGAAGTAAAATCCTCCTGCATGTATGAATATTTAGCCTCTGTGCTGCAAGGTCAGAAGACCAGCAGTCATAAGATCGAATCCGCGCGACAGTGTGAGCTCCCGTTGCTTGTCCCATCTCCTGCCAACCTAGCAGTTCAAAAGCATGTAAAAATTCAAGTAGATAAATAGTACCACCACAATGGGAAGGTAACAGTGTTCCGTGTCTAGTCGCGCTGGCCACATGACCACGGAAACTGTCTACGGACAAAACGCTGGCTCTAGGACTTGGAGACGGGGATGAGCACCGCGCCCTAGAGTCAGACATGACTGGACTAAAAAATGTCCTTTACCTTTACCTACCACGTCCCCAAAATTGATCAGGCACAATCCAAAGAAACAAAACAAAACAAAGACAAAAACATGTGGCATTTTACAGACTAACTACTATATTTTTAACATGAGCTTTCATGGACAAGTCCACTTCATCAGACATATGGGGGGGGAATGAAATGCTGGATGAAATACAAATTACACAAGTAATTGATGGCTTTGTGCAGCCCCTCCACAGGCTACAGCCCTCTGCATTTCCTGTTCATGGGAATGGGGTTTTCTCAGAGATCTGAATATATACAACTAAATCAGTCCCAAAGGATTTTGTCAGAATGTCTCCAAAGGGACAAAGGGTAGGTAGGCACTGAAATGTACCCTCTTATTTAGGCACAGATCAGATGTGAAGGGGAGCAGCACATTTCCTTATAAGGAATGCACCAAATCACAGATCATGCTATCAACATGACTTGTTTCTCCCCCTTTGCCCATGCAGCTTTCCAAAGTACTGAAAAACATACTCTGCACTGCTCAAAATCCTTTGACTATCTCAAGCAGAAACAAGAATAGGTTATGGTGGACAGTATGGATCTCCAACTGCAGGAGCTGCCAAGACAAGCCAATGAGGGGCTGGTTGCATGTGATCAGGTGCATGACCATCTTACCAGGTCACTGCAGAAGCTTCCATATATGAAATTTGTGCATTTAAACACTGACCAGGATACTAGGCGTTATCTTTATCATAACCAAGATTGACAAAACAAATAGTTCACTTTTTAACCAACCAACCACAGGGCCCCCATATCCACCGGGGATTGGTTACATGCCCCTGCAGATACTGGAAACCACAGATAATAGCAAACATGAGAGAGAGGGGGGGTTGGATCCAGATTAGCAGAGTTCTGCTTGCTTTCAAGTAAGTGGACAAAGCCAGTCTTTACAACCCCTTTCCTCCCATAGTCACATGTGCCTCCCAAAATGCTGCCCTGTTAAGCTGAGAAGCACTCCTGAAGCAATAGGAGAGACGATATGGGAGGAACTAACAAAGATGCCCCCCTCATTCCTCTGCTGGAATCCTGTGCCTTCCATAGAAACAAATCCTTCCATTCACATAATGCTTTATCTGCTTCCAACCCATTTTGTTCTAATTGGCTATACAATTCTAGTGCTGAATATGAATGAAAATTCAGAAGTAAGTCCCACTGAGTTCTATACTTAGCATTTAGTCTAAGGAGAGTGGGTGTAGAACTACAGCCTAAGTTCAGGATGGGCAGAACTACAATCACATTCACCTTATCTTGCCATCTCATAAGACACATAAAGCCAAAACACAGTCTGAGTTTCTATATCTACCCAGAAACAAGCAGCTTATTAACATTTATTTATGGCTGAGTTTCCGTTGACAAGTATGTATCAGATCAAGCCTGAACTCTCACTAGAAGATAAAATCACTAAATTGAGGCTATTCTAATTTGGATACAACATGAGAAGACAAGTCTTACTGAAAAAGACAATAATGCTAGGAAACATGGAAGGTAGTAGGAAAGGAGAATACTGAAAATTAGATGGATTGACTCAATAGAGAAACCAACAGCCTTCGGTTTGCAAGACTTGAACACAGTTCTTAATGACAGGACTCTTTGGAGGTTATTAATTCACAGGGCTACTATAAAGTGTAAGGAACTTCATGACAGATAACAAGATGGTATATATCCCTTTTTTAAAACCACAAGAGACAAAGGGTGCAACTACATGGCCAAACTACAACAGGCTAGATCAGGTTAAATATGGCCGCTGTAGGTCACATACCATATTTTTCACTCCATAAGAGCAGTTTTTCCTCCCCAAAAAAGTGGAGGGGAAAGTGTGTGCATCTTATGGAGTGAATACTGCCCCCCTGCCCCATTGGTGCCTTCCCAGGCCTCCAGAGGCCTCAGAAGGCCCCACCCCATCCTCACCGACACCCACGGAAGCATCCCCAGCTTACAAAGCACCAGGTACCCGGCCGCTTTTCCTTCCTCCTCCAGCTGCACGCCCCGTCCACAGAGCTCCTCTGACCTACATGCCATACTCAGGATGTTCGGCCGCACTTACGAGTAGACCCACGCCTTCTCCGGCGCTTACATGTGAGTAGACCCACACCATATACAGCCCTTACTCATGAGTAAACCTGCACCCTTGCCAGCCCTTTCTCATGAGTAAAACTGCACCTTTGACCCCACCCTCACCGACACCGTCCTACCTTAATTGCCGCTGCTGAGGTCTTCTGGCCTCAGAGCCATGTATGTAGAAATGGAGACTGCCTGCCCTTTGCAAAGATGGCAGCTGCAGCTTCCCTACCCTAAATGGAGCTGTAACTGACATCTTTGCAAAGGGCAGGCAGTCTCCATTTCTACATACATGGCTCCGAGGCCAGAAGACCTCAGCAGCGGCAATTAAGATTAAGATTATGGTGGCCGGGGGGACCCCCGCACTGCCTTCCGAGGCCTCCAGAGGCTTGAGAAGGCAGCGATGGTGGCGGGGGGACCCCCAGGAGGCTTCGGACCGATAAGGTGCTGCTTTTTACTTTTTAAAATAATGTTCTGGGTGGGTTTGGGAGGGTAGGTTTGGGCTGGGAGGGTATGTTTTTATGTTGCTTTGTTTTTTGGTGAGTTTCTTTTGCAGTCCCAGCATGGGACTTACATTGTTTATTTATTTAATTGCCCACCCCTGGTACAGAGGACTATTTTTTCCTGTTTTCCTCTTCTAAAACTTATGTGCGTTTTATAGTCAGGTGCATCTTATGGAGTATGCAATATGCCATTTGGTGTTGTCTTAGCATTCACATGATCGAGTGACCTGCTCAAAGAGGCATGAATAGTTATTGAGAAACAAGTAGAAAGGACACACTACAACACTGTACGACTGCACATAGACTTGTCTTCATTTTCCGGCCCAAAGAAGGAAACAGACTTTTAACGGCTGCAGGAAATGGTTTCACAGTGCCACCTGTAGTCAAAATGGGTTCCCCCCCAACATAGAAACATAGTTTAAAAAGACACCTCTTGACTGCCCAAACTTTAAATAAAAGATCTTCCAACTATATCTATTTTTGGTTCAAAAAAGAAATCTTGAAACTCCCCCTATTTCACCAGTAAAGATATTTCAGATACTGTATTGTTAAGAATTCTGGGGGTGGGGGAAACCATTTGGAGCTATCACATTAATCTTAACTAGAAGGTTTGATAATTCTGCAAAGCACTGAGCAGGATACATTTACCTTGCTCCTGTTCTTCTCTTGGCTCTGTTCAAATACGTCATGTCCACCCTGTGAATAGCTCAGGGTACTACTAGAACTGTGTTCTTTGTGACTATCTCCAAACCAAGAGAAAGGCATACAGGTTGGAATAGGTGAATCTGAATCTGATGCAGATAAGTTGTTGGCAGAATCTTCCAAGAGTTCTCGGGAGCCTCTGGAAAAATGTAACTTTCATAAATGACCTGCAAAAGTCTACTGCACATCTAATTAGAATATGTTAAATAAATTGCATATAAGATCACTGGTTCTTAACCTTGGGTTACTCAGGAGTTTTGGACTACAACTCCCAGAAGCCTTCACCACCAGCTGTCCTGACTGGGGTTTCTGGGAGTTGCAGTTCAAAAGCATCCGAGTAACAAAGGTTAAGAACCACTGTTTAAGATTAACGTATTTTCCAATTACATACACAACAGTACACTTTGTGCTTACCATATTTTTCCACATAAAAGACTATATTTTTCCTAAAATCATTAAGAGTAAAAATCGAGGGTCACCTTGTACATGGAAGTAAGCCAAGGAGAAAAACGTGCGGTTGCAAAACTCCCTACCATAAGTCTCTGCAAACCATCTGCCTTCTGTCATAAGTGAAACTGCCGATAGTCTCTGTTTGCAGAGGCAATCACAAGCCTTATGCAAATGATGCAAGCTGATGCTGAGGAGAATGTGTAGGCCAGCAATGGAGAACCTATGGCACATGTGCCACAGCTTTTTCTGTGGGCGTGTGAGCCATAAGTCGCCAGATCACTACTCCCGCAGCTGAACCTGAGGAGGCAGCTGCAGTCGCAATACTATACTAGTGCCCTGACGGGTGGTAGGCCAGGATCTGGGTGCTGACCCAGCCGTGTTCCTATACACAGTGGTGCAGTTGGGCTTGATTGGAGGCAGATCTGGAGTGGGGTCTGGAGGCACCTTTGTGCTCACAATTCCCCTCTCTGCTTCGGCTTCCACTTCCACCGCCATTGCCCACATTTTTTGTTTGTCTGTTTTTTGGGGGTTTTTTTGTTTTTTGTTTGTTTGTTTTTTGTTTTGCAGTTTGGGCACTCTGGCTCAGCCATTACCGATGCAGGCAGTGTGACAGTAACTGGTAAGGGTGATGCATAATATCATAGTACTGGCATGTGAATGTTGCCTAAATACTAAATAAATATGTGTTCCTTTCTAATGTTTAAAATTTTGGGTTAGAAAATGGGGGGTGTCTTATACACGGGGACATCTTATACACAGAAAAATACGGCACAGGTTATTTTTAAAGGAATTTCAGATGCAGCTGTGTAAGTATGTCATTTTTTTCAGTAAGTTGTTGCTAGGTCTGAAAACTTTACTAGCACACTTAGTTGCATCTGAATGCTTCCTTTTTTACTGAAGACTACACATTACTCAACAACATATGACAAACAAAAATAAGAATGATTAATTCAGAAAAAATATTTTCATTCCAGCCTAGTTTCCCAATTTCAAATGCCCAGTTCAAAATGTAATACACATCTATAAATACCGGCTATCCAGAGAACCCCTTGTGTTTTCTTTCTCTTGTTTCCTGCCTTTACCACCGGATTTTCTTAGGCCCCTGAAATTAAGAAAATAACTAATTTGAACATTTTGTAAAATGAAATTAGTCAGTACTAAGAAATGTATGGCATACCATAAAATAAAAGAGTAGTTTCTCTTATAATGTCAAAATACCAATTTCAATGTGTTTCACACTGAAAAATTTTCAACAACAAAAATGTACTTGCTAAGCAAAACAGAAATGACACGTTACAGTGGTGCCTCACTTGACGAGGATAATCCGTGCCGGTGAAATTGCTGATAAGCGAAATCCTCAAGCGAAATTAAAAAGCCCCTTAGAATGCATTAGAAACTGGCTAATGCGTTCTAATGGATAAAATACCTCATCGTAAAGTGAAGATCCTCCATAGGGCAGCCATTTTCCGGTGCCTGTCTTGCGAAAAGTGCCTCCTAAGAACAGCGGGGGACCATTTTGAGAGCCAGCGGCCATTTTGAAAACCGCTGATCAGGTGTTGAAAAAACATTGTTCAGCGAAAAATTGGTTCCTGAAGCGATCATCACTAAGCGAAAAAAACCCATTCAAAGATCATTGTGAAGCGGATTCATCGTTAAACGGGGTAATCGTCAAGCGGGGCACAACTGTATTTATAAAGAAGTTAAAAATATAGCTTGCACTAAGAGACAACAGATGCTTTCTGAGTTGCCACTACAAGGCAAGGGATGACTGCCTGAACAATCCCTTTCAACAATGCCTTGGCCTGTTCTGTGTTCAAATGTTAGCTGCTGTTCTAAACCCAGAGTTCATGTTGCAAATTTTATAAGAGAGGCAGAAAAGACCAACTTCAAACATGCTAGTCTTAGTTCACGTGAATCACACTTTAACTACAAACTGCGCATCTATCTTCATTCTGATGTGCACTCTGAAAGAGAGAGGCACAGGCAACTTTCTATACAGAAATATGTACATACTGCTGTAAAAAAATGAACTTGTCTCACTTGTGTGGGGGGAGGGGAGAACTTGCTATTGAATACAGAACTACAGTGGTGCCTCGCTTAACGGGCGCTCCGTTTAGCGATGAAACCGCATAGCGACAAAGTTTTTATGATTGCAAAAGCGATCGCTTTGCGATATTCCCTATGGGGGAATTTTGCTTTGCGATGATCGGTTCCCTGTTTCGCTTACCAATCATCGCAAAGCGATGATTTTTTAACAGCTGATCCGCGGTTTCAAAATGGCCGCCGGGTAAACAAAATGGCCGCCCATTGTGTTTTCGCACGGATTCCTTGCTTTAGAGGTGTCATGAATTTGATGATGAAAATAGAATAGAGTTGTATATCATAGGATTTATTTCAGAGCAGCAACGAAAAAGCTAGAAATCCGCTTGTGTCCAGGTGCTAATTAGAGAGAAAAAATGTACAAGGTCGGTTCTTCTCCAGCTAAAGAAAAAAAATCAAGAAGAGCAAGCTGACCCTTATCTTATCTCAACTCCGACGGACAAGGACATAACTTGTTAATTTAAGAAAGATGGGAGAAGAGAGAAGGAGGAGGAGATGGACGGAGACACAGCCCGGACGACTGCCGGAACGCAGCATGAATTTCAGCAGAGGAAAAACTACTAAAGGACTCTTATTTTTCTAATTAACCGTAAGATAAAATTCTATTTAGAAATGTAGTTAGATTGGTTGTTATTTTCGTTTTTATAGAGGAAATGTTTGTTGGTATCGGCTGGGGGAATTTGGAAATGATTATTTGTGTAAAGATTGGCTTATCTAAATGTGTTTCAAATTAATCTTTCTTTTTAATAAAATATAGAAAGGCTGTTTGTCTGTACGTTGGCTTTTTGAATAGACCGTCAAGCTACTCTAGTTAATTGGCTAATTTAAAATTGATTTATTTAATCAGGCCACGCGCATGCTACCAATTTAGGGTCCTACATATAAGTTAAAGAGGAGTAAATCTTCTAGAATGACTGGAAGTTTTTTATTTAAAAATCGGAGCAGACTTGGGAGAAAGGCTGGAAAAGTTGCCTAGGGTAAAATTAAAGGACCCGGTTTTACCTGAGTAGGAACTGATCATCTTGGACCCCTCTCTGTTCCGTGTAAAAGCAGTTTCTTAGGAAGCTCGCTTTTACGACAAGAGGCACCAACAATGGCGGCTCTATGGAGGATCTTCGCTTAAAGGTTAGTTTTAAGCCCATAGGAACGCACTGAAGGGTTTTCAATGCATTTCCATGGGCTTTTTAAAATCGCATAGCGATGAAATCACTTAGCAGCTATTTTTGCTGCACGTCGCTATGCGAGGCACCACTGTAACTGCAGTCTTGCCATCTTAAAATGGCAATTAATTTTCTCAGTCTTTAAAGATATTTCTAGTTCCATTAGGAGCCTTGGTGTGTTGTCATAGTGAGGCAGACTACATTTGATTTTTTATTTCAGTGTGTGAAACTTAATTGTAGAAAAACCTGTCCTAAACGAGATTCACCTTCTAACATAAATGCAAGTACACAGTTTAAAGCAAAAAGAAAATTCCAAATACCTCTGTCATTCAAGACAACTGAAGAAATCTAATGGTATAACCCATACAATAAAATACAGTTTAGTTAACTATGAGAACAGTAATGTTCTCTAAAACTCAAGAAATCCTACCCAAAATCTGGGAAACGTCTTTTGGACTTTCCAGCAGAACCTTCACTTGATTCAGTTTTTTCTTCGTTCCTTTTGTCATCTGTGTTAAACAAAAATATTGATACAAGGTACAGTACATGCCATGAATGAAGTTTCCACTTTAAAATAAATCTAAGCATCCTTTATAATTAAAGATAATAGAAAATGAATGGAACTGACACACATTTCGAAATAAGTTGTTCTTTTGCATTAGCAGAATGACATAAGATGGCTGAAGTCTTAGGCACATGAAAATATCTTTCTGCATTTCAATTACATTAAATTTCATAAAAGAATTTTTTACAATATTATTATAACAGGAGAAAAGTGCTCAAAATGGTGTGTGTGTGTGTGTGTGCTTCAGCTTGTACTTCCAAAAGAAAGGAACAATGTATTCACTCTCCTGTATGAACAGAGCATTTTCAATGCACTGATCAAGTTGCTTTTGGGACTAACCCTGGAAAATTATCTCAAACAAAACAGAATTGATTTTAAATAGAAAATGTCTTCCTTTTTAATGCCATTTACTTCATCAGAAACTGCTACTATCAACTTGAATCTGGCAGGCACAGGCAAAATCCTTTAACCACACTAGAAGGAGACTTGTACAAAAATTCCAACGTCCTTACTCATGATTTGTCAAGAGTCAACCACAGTTAATACCAATGTTGTAGGCTTACATTATCCTTCCTCTGATATATTCAGTATAATGAGACTGCTACTGCTTAATAAGATGGATTTTCCATTTTTTTTTAAAAAGTACACTATCTCAACACTGTACCTCTGCAGCTCCCTGGAAAGCATGGTGGAGCAATACTTGTCCAAGATTTTAAAACTTTTAAAACAAAATTTTTAAAGTTACCTTTGTTTGCTTTTCCTTTTCCTTTTGATTCTCTGTGTTTAGCATTTCGACAGTATCCTGAAGGAGAATTTGGAGCAGTATCATCATTAGAGATCTGCTGTGCTGCTCCAGGACTACCCTCTGTGTGTGGTTTACACACTGGAGAAGAGTGCACAGAAATGGTTGGGCTTGAGTCTAATAAACTGTCAGTACTTCCGGCACGTTCATGATTGTTGGCTTTCTGATCTACATCACTTTGCTGGGAGGTAGTTATCATCTCTGTCACTTCTGAAGACTTCACCTGGATAGTTTCCTCTGCCTCGCAATCATCCATACTCTGAAAGTACATTAAAAAATTTTATAAATGTTTATATTAAGATTTAAGCTGTCTAAGATCAAGATATCACAACAGTCAACTTCTCCTGTATCAGCTTCTTTGCTGATACTGTTGCCCTTGAAGCTGTCACCTTGAAGTGGTTAGACAAGTGTCTACCAGACACAGCTCCTTTCTATGGGAGCACCTCTCCTGGAATATTTGCAGAGACACTCACTTTGTACCTACACTTCTTTTACAGAACCATATAAAAGTTATCTTGTAACTTTAAATGAGGTTTCGATTAGAGGCAAAGTACTGCAATTGGCTTTTCACTTTTTTCCTGCACACATCTAGGAATATAACCAGCACCTTGTTAATGAGCTGGAATTTGTACATGGCTCACAAAGGCAAACTGGAAGGAAGACAAAATTGGATTTTAAGATTACACATATGATAAAAGTGGCAAACGTATGACATTTGCAGACTCTCCCTTCTGTCAGATAGAAACATGGAGACTTTTCTACCTCTCAGATAGAAAAGTCCCCAGACTTTCAGCCTAGCCTAATATCAAGTGTATTCTCCTATTTTGCTGATGTAAAGACTGAGACCAATTCAATGCATAAGGAGGTAAGATGTCCCTTATTTCTGGTCACCATTACTAGAGATCCTTTAAAAGGTCTGTTTACATTCTTACACTAAGGGTATTGTGACACACTGCAAATCACACTGCCATCAATACCGTGTTTTCACTTTCCAATCCCAGGCAATGCATTGCAAATACTAGATTACTACACAGGCTTAATGTTTAACTACTTAAAGTCAGAGTAATTCTGTGCCATACTCCATTGCCAATACAACATGAATTAAGTGCCATGACAGGATTTATCTAGAAGTATTCCAGTTTTAAATATCTAGGAATTTTGATTCTGCAAGGAGTGTATCAGCTTGTTCTCAGAAATATTTTGGTAAGGTAAATTTGAAATCATGGAATATACTTCAAATTTTGATGATGTGTAGGATAACTGTCACCAAAGCGTTCCTTTTTCCAAATTTCTTTTTATTCCAAATTACAATTCAATCTATTCACTACAACTTTTCTAAATGACAATAACTTCTGGAAAAGTTCATTACTGAGAAAAAAAATCAGATCCACTGAGAGAAAATTAGCTTTCCTATTAGAAGCTTTTATAGTTGTTTTTACAGGGTTGGGTTGCCAGTCCCTGAGAAGAATTAAAACTGATACTCAATATAGTAAGAGGATAACATTCAGTTTCATGAGTGAATATGGAAATTAGGTGACCAACTGGAACCATGTTGCTCCTTGTTATTTTTACATTTCTATAAGCAGAATACCGTAATTACTCCATTTTAGCAGCAACTCCAAGACCCATAACTATTTCAGAAGAATCTTATCCCTCCTCCCATAACGAAATTAAGGGTCACACATTCTAAATCTGTAACTGGTAATACAGTAAAATAATTGTAAAGTAGGCTGAAATAAACACTCACACTGTGCCAAAAATTGGTATCCTTGTCCTCTAAATCTTTGTCAGCATAACCATGAAAGAATGCTTTCAAAGCAGTTGCATCCACCTAAAATTTCTACTTACAACAAAGCACTGTCAGCACAATGCTGGGGAAACTGTAGGCAGCATGACTCCCTTATTGACATGTAGATGAGCTGCCCTAAAGCATCATGCTTCTGGAGATAAGCAGCTGACAATCTCACAGTGATTACTGGGCAAAAAATTAAATATTGCAAGCAAGACTGTTGCCATCTGCAGGGATAACAAAACTGTTCTATGGGGATCTAATAAACAGGTTAAGTGGCTGACTGTCTAAAGACAGCAGAATACTGAAAAACTTTGGATGGCCTGAATAAAAGGACATGGATGAATCGTGTGTAGTTCAGGGCCCTGTTGGAAAAATTCACACACAAATGGAGTGTGGTTTTTTAAAAAAAGATGTTTCTCAGTCCATGGTCACACCAGGCAAATGTTCCCCTGTTCTAACAGTACATTTCATAGCTTTGCTGTACCGAATCATGGTCAGGTGGTATTTTTACCTCGGCAAACGTCCCAATGTGTTTTAAAGTTACCGATTCATTTCCCCCTACTTGAATCATTATGGTCAGCTACACCATGGTACTGTTTTTTCTCTCTCTCTTGTTTTCTGGGGCACTGCAGCTCCTTACTTACATATATATATATGTTTACTTATTTATATATATATGTTTAAATTACTAACTCATATCTCAACATGTCGGGTAGGGGTTCCTATTTGGTAAAATGTCCTCTGTCACACCAGCACCTCTGGAAGCAATGCATTGCACTCAATGGATGTGGCACCTCCACCCAGGGCTACGCCGCTTGCCAGATAGTAGGAGGAGTGATGCAACATCTACCAATGCTTTTAAAGCCATTGACACAAGTTTACCATGAAAATATGAAAAAAAAAAAAAAAGCAGAGCAACCACACAGCAATAACGGTGGTCGCCTTTCCTGGTGACTTGGCTTCAGAAAAGAATAGATAGGGACAACCCTACCATACAATTACATATATGTCATAACACTAAGGAAAAAATCAATACACTATTGGTAAACAAATAACACAATTCCCCCCGCCCCCAGCACCTTCTGTGCCATCTGCCAGAAATGGTGAGTTAGTGATATCAGTTGTCTTACAAATGTATCAACTACAAAGTTAAAAACTGTATTTTGAAAATAAAAATAATAAAGTGAACAGCGTACCTGTGAGTTTCTTTCTTTCTGTCCAACCCCAAGAGACTCTTTCAGCTTTGATCGAGAAGGTGGCTGACGTTTTACTTTCAAGGCAAGCTGAGCTTTTGCTTTATGTGCACTGGTGTCCAACCTCGGTGTGTCCCCAACAAACGTATCAAACTCTGTAACAGATTTAAATACTTTTAAAGATATTCCAGCATTAAATCAAGCTTCTCTCCCCATGTCTATCAACAAAGCCAACTGGTACTCTTTTATAAATTAGTATTTAATCATGTTTAAGTAACCTAAATCTTTAACAAAATGTTCTTGTATGTTATGACACAGACAACCAACCTTTACTTCCATATACAGTGGTGCCTCGCTTAACGATTGCTTCGTTTAATGAAGAATTCGCTTAGCAATGGCTTCTTCGGAGCGATCTTGCGCTCCGTTTAACAATGTTCCCTATGGGTGATTTTCGCTTAGCGATGTTGGGAGCAGCTGGGCAGCGGGGCAGAAAGGCAGGAGCAGATTCGGTCTTTCTCCCCCACCATCGGACGCAGCGCTTTGGGAGAAGCCTCCCGGTG